CTGAACTATTGACTAGATAGCACACAACACTGTATAGGCATCAGGATGGAAGTATAGGAAGTGACTCATCAAGAAACCTCAAATGGAAAAGTATAGCAGATGGTTGCTAAAAGAGGTCTGAGAAAGCCTAGAAAACAGTGTGGGTGGAGACATTGACAATGTGAATGGAAGAAATGTTCACCAGGTGCCTAGGCTACAGGTCAGGGGTTATTGCATACTTATTGTCTTCCCTGCAAGAAGACTGGCTTATTAATGCTTCAGTTACTGTCTTAAGTGGGGAGACTGATATGAGGATCAGTGGTTTAAGTCCATGGGCTGGAGAAGTGGTGCACATCTGTAACCCCTGTTCTGGGGAGCAGGCAGAGATAGTTGGATTCCAGGGCTACAGCCCAGCCAATCTAGATGAAATGAATTGCTCCAGGGTTAGTAAGAGACTGTGTCAAACAAGTAAAGTAGAAAGCAATAAAAGACACCTGAGGTTCACTTCCAGCCTCCATATGAGTGTGAATGGGAATGGGCACATGCACATACAGGTACACACACACACACACACACACACACACACACACACACACACACACAAGGCCATCATTAGCTGTATAAGGAGTATGAGGCTAGCCTGGGGTTGTTTATTTATTTTTTCAGACAGGGTTTCTCTGGCTTTGGAGCCTGTCCTGGAACTAGCACTGTAGATGAGGCTGGCCTTGAACTCTGAGGTGCGCCTGCCTCTGCTTCCTGAGTACTGGGATTAAAGGCGTGCAACACCAACGCCCGGCTCTAGCCTGGGGTTATATGAGACCTTGTCAGAAAACAACAAAAACCAGAAAAACAAAACAACCAAGGGAGAAGCCAGGAATGGTGGCATATTCCTTTAATCCCAGCACTCAGGAGGCAGAGAAAGGCAGATCTCTGAGTTCTAGGCCAGCTTGGTCTACATAGTGAGTTCCAAGACAGCTAAAAGCTGTGTAAAGAGGCCCTATCTCATTAAAAAAAAAAGTCAACCAGGCTCAGTTGGTACAGTGTTTGCCTGGTATATATGAGGGCTCAGATTCAACTCCCAGGACCACACAAACTGATTGTGGTAGTGAATGTTCATAATAACACCACTCATATGACCGAAGTTTAAAGTCATCCTCCGCTACACAGTGAATTTAAGGCCAGCCTGAGCTCCATGGGACCTTATCACAAAAATGAAGTATTTTTAAAAATGTAATGAACATTGGCCCAGTGTCAGTGGCACACACTTTTAATCCCAGCACTCTGGAGGCAGAAGCAGGCGAATCTCTGAGTTCGAGGCCAGCCTGCTCTACAGAGCTAGATTCAGGACAGGCTCCAAAGCAATATAGAGAAACTCTGTCTAAAAAAAAAAAACAAAAAGAAAAAAACAAAACAAACAAATGTAATGAATACATAGTAGATATCACATATGCATTTATTATTCTAAGAAGTTTATAAGGTAGATCCTATTATCTCCAGATTACAGGTGGCAGCTCCAAGGCACAGTCAGCCAGTTTAGTAAGTAGTAGATTCAGGGGAGTCAAATCCTGGCAGCTTTGTTTGCAGTCCACACCCTCAGCCACATTGCTATATTCTATCCAAGCTGTGCTATATCAGCTATAGCTCTAGTATTCAGACAAGGCCATTTGCCAGCCAACAAGGGCTTCTTTATAAGCAAGGTAAGAGGTAACCTCTATTTCTAGAAACATGACATCCTCAAGAATCCTAATATAATTGTTGTTTAATTCAACATTTCATGCTAAATCTTCAGCATACTTTATCATATAATCATCTGTATTGGTTACTTTTTTCAGTTCATTGACAAAATACCTGCCAAAGACAACTTAAAGAAGGGTTTCCTGGCATTGGTGATACACTCGGGAGGCAGAGGCAGATGGATCTCTGTGAGTTCAAGGCCAGCCTGGTCTACAAAGCAAGTTCCAGGACAGGCTCAAAAACAATACAGAGAAACCCTGTCTTGAAACACACACACACACACACAAAAAAAAAAAAAAAAAAAAAAAGGAAGGAAGAGTTGAGGCCTGGAGAGATGGCTTAGCAGTTAAGAGCAATTCCCAGCACCCACGTGGTGGTGACTCCCAAACATCTACAATGGGATCTGATGCCCTCTTCTGTCCTATAGGCATGTATGCAAATTGAGTACTCATATGCATAAATAAATCTTTTTTAAAAAAAGAAGGGAGTGTTGTATTGGCTCCTGGCTTGAGGGTACAGCCCATCATGATGCCACCCTAACTGCAATTTTGCTACTGTTATGAATTGTAAGGTAAATATTTGATATGCAGGATATCTGATATGTGACTCCCACAGTTGAAAATCCCCGATGCAGATAGTCACTTGGGATCCACAGTGGAGAAGCAGAGACAGATGAATCGGCTTTCTTTCTGTTCAGTCTCTCACAGTCTCCTAAGTGATTTCAGATTCTGTCAAGTTGACAGTCAAGTAACCGTCACCATCACAATCAATTGCTTTTAGTTTTGTTTTGAGATGGGATCTTGCTTTGTGGCCCAACTGGCTTGAACCTTGGAATCCTCTTGCCTCAGTCTTTCAAGTGCTGGAATTACATTCATGCACCACCATTCCCAGTGCACTAGTCTTGCTCGGTAGGTTCCACCTGACTCAAATTTCACAGAGGAAACCTAGAGAAGTTAAGCTTGTTCTTGTGTAGCAGAAACCTGCAGACCTTTCAGTGACTTCCTAGTCATTCCCCACACTGAGTTGGAGGATCTCCCCGCTTCTGCCACAACCTTCAGTCTCCTTTCTTCCCCAGGGCTTCAGGTGGAGTTCATCAACCCCATCTTTGAGTTCTCCAGAGCCATGAATGAACTGCAGCTCAACGATGCTGAGTTTGCTTTGCTCATCGCCATTAGCATCTTCTCTGCAGGTGTGGAGGAGGGGCAAGAGGGAAACTGAGTAAGAGACTTCCACCCAGGAAGGTTGTAGTCCCTACCGGGCAGGACACATTAGTGTGGAGGATCTTGCTGTGTTCCTTGCGGATGAGGGAAGTTGGGTGGGATGTGTCCCTATTTGGGGATTGTGATTTGGGGTATGGTACCAAGGCCTTTGCCAGACCCTGCTCCTCAACTTTGTTGGTGACCTATAGACCGGCCCAACGTGCAGGACCAGCTCCAAGTAGAGAGGCTGCAACACACATACGTGGAGGCCCTGCATGCCTATGTCTCCATCAACCACCCCCACGTGAGTCTCCCCCAGTGCCTTTTCTTCTGCTCTTCAGGCCCAATTTTCTTTCTCGGTTTTTTTGAGACAGGGTTTCTCTGTGTAACAGTCCTGGCTGTCCTAGAACTCACCCTGTAGACCAGGCTGCCCTCAAACTCACAGAGATCTGCTCCAAGCCCATTTTTTGATAGCCATTTTCTTTCAAAACTTCTGCCTACACCTAGCATAGGCAACTCTTTATCTTTCTCAAAATTTTCCTGCCCCATCTCACCTTCTCTAGAGAAGAGCAACAGCTAGACTTCTCTCTCTCCCCCCCCCTCCCAGGACCGTCTGATGTTCCCACGGATGCTAATGAAGTTGGTGAGCCTCCGGACTCTGAGCAGTGTCCATTCGGAGCAAGTGTTTGCTCTTCGCCTGCAGGACAAAAAGCTTCCCCCACTGCTGTCTGAGATTTGGGATGTGCATGAGTGACTGTTCTTCCTCCCTGTCCTCTGTGCTTTGGGCCACACGACTGAGGCTTTTGGACTGCTTTCTAGAGATGGAGCAGACAGAGAAGGGCAAACATTCCTGGGAGCTGGGTGAAGGAGATCCTTGCATGGCATTAAAGGAGAGTCAAAGGGTTGGGTGTTTTGGGGCTGCTGGGCAGTTGGGAACCTACGAACATGTACTATCTGAAGATCTTATTGACCCAACCAAATAAACTATCCAGGAAGGCCACTTTACACAGGGTTCTTTAGGGCCCTGCCCATCTTGCTTCTTCCACTTCCTGTTTATCCCCATAGGGCCTCAAAGAAATTCTCCACTATCATTCTGCAGCTTTGCTGTAACTGCCTCGGGGCTGCTTCACCAATAGGTCTGGCACTTGGAGCAGGAAGGCCAAAATGAATATAGAACTAGGAATATAAAACCACCGCGCATGGGGGTGCTGCGGTGGAGGAAGCCTGTGTCCATTAGGACATGCCTCCAGACTCAGGAGAGGGCGAATCACAAGTGACCGTTCCTGTTCACTAGGCCCACTGCATAAGAAACATGCTTAGGCTTAGGTGCACTTTCCCCTTTAATGATTCAGGTAGGAGCAGGTGCTCTTACTGTCAGAGGAGGAGTTGGAGCTCCAGCAATAACTCGGCAGTACACTTGTGTGTGTGTGTGTGTGTAAGTAAAACGTCTTACTTTTAACATTGGCACCTGAAAAGGAGTACAGCCTTAAAGACCCAGGGCTGGGTAATATTTCCCTTCGGGCTCTGGGTGCTGGGGGACTGGAAGAAAAATCCTCTTTGGCTCGTGAAGGATGACCAGTGTTTGAGTTGTCAAAAGGACTGGACTCCATTTCCCAGCGGGCATCACGGCACCGTTCTGGTTCCCCTACCTTGGTGTAGGTGATACCCTGGCAGCGCCAGCCTGAAGTGCCCCTGCTATCCAGAATTGGTAGAGTCCACCGGCGGACTAGTTGGCTTTCCTGCCAGAGCGGCTGGGCACGTCCAAACAGCGTGCAGGGGGAGCCAAATGAGTTTTGAAGAAACTGTCAGGAAGTCTTAGGGGCAGTTTATCTTATGAACCACCTTCAGGTTAAACAACAATTCGTCAAGACGGGATCTATAGTCGAGTCGAATTAAAAACCGTTTAAACAACCAAAACAAAATGTATTCCTTTGGGTCCTCCCCTCGGCACCTACTGGCACTGGGCTAGCCCAGTGCTTCCCATCGCGTTCCCACTCCCACACCGATAGGTGTGTGCGTAGCCGCCTTCCTCCCTGCGCTCGGTTTGGTGCAGACCCGAACGGGGCTGCGAATGGTACGGCCCCGACCCCCTCAGCCTTCCCCTCCCGCATCAAGTCGGAGTGGTACGCGCTCCCCGGTGCAGACGCGGAACTGGCGCCCGCTCGCCCGCCGCGGCGCCGGGCTCGGAAGCGAAGAGCGCTCCGCGGTCGGGAGACGTCAGGCGGGCCTGGCAGGTTCCTGTGAGCTGGGGAGGTAGGGGAGCGCGCGCCGTTGGGGTCCCTGGATGGGTCTTTGAGGGGAAGCGGCGCCTGAGAGGAAAGCGGCTGCAGGAGGAAAGGGTCTCTGAGGCGGCCCTGAAGGAGCGAGCGCGAGGGGGCGTGGAGCCTGCTGAGAAAGTGAGGCGGGGGGTCGAGGCGGGGCGCCCGCGCCGCCAAGGGCTGCGGGCTCGCGCTGAGCTCCGCTCCCGGGCGGCTAGCGGTGCTGGTGGGCGAGGAGCTGTCCAGCAGGTGAGGGGGCGGGCAGAGCTGTCCAGCCCCGGGCCCCGGGAAAGGACCAGAGCCGGGTGCGTGTGCGCGTGCGTGCGCACGCCTTATTTTTGATTAGCGTTTGGAGAACCACGTTTGGTTCTCTAAATATATACATATATATTTACATTTCATCCTTCAATGTTGGTGAAGACTAGACACAACATTTAATCTTTGCTGCAACTGCTCACCTATCCATCCTCCTGCAGCTCGATTCTTCCTCGTGCTCTCTCCTCCTTCCTCAGTCCTAACCATCGCTGACTTCATTGCTCCAGTTCTCCCCCACTCTGGACCAGTCTGCTGATGAGCTTGCAAGGTCACTGCCTGGGGAGGAGGAGGAAGGGGAGGAAGCCTCCAGTGTGCTCACGTCAGCGAAGATGTCATATCGTCCTTGGGTCGGGTTCCTGTGGTTTTTACTGTGAGATCCTGCCCCAAATGAGGGACGAACCCACAGGGTTCGTAGCATGGCCTTTGTAGGCTGAAAAGGCATAGATTACCTAAAGGTCCGTGGATTCTAGACATGGGTGGTGAAGTAGGATTGTAGCAGAAAGAAGTGCATTTAGAAATTTGGACTACAGCGGAAGAGGAGCTAGGGGGCTCTACATTAGTTAATAAAATTGAAGCAAGAGGCAGAGTCTGAGCCAGGTTGGTTATGAAGATTGCATGAGTTATAGGTGGTGTTAGAGGATTTAGCGTCTGTGGGGAAGGCAGAGAATGAGAACAGCCTTGATTATTTCTGTAGTCTGAGTGGCTAGAGATGGGATAGGAATTACAGCTAAAAATATATCCTACCATTGCTAGCTAGGATAGTCCCAAGATCTTGAGTTCTTGCAGCTCTGAAAGGAGATGAAGACTATAGAATACGGTAATTGGCTTGAATAGGGAGAGGGGCTTCATCTCACCAATACTAGAAAGACCCCTGTAACTAGAGAGAGAAAGCTTCAGCACCATTTTTGGAATTTTAGCCAGAAGATGTTTCTGTTTTTCAGTCTAAAGACTCAAGTTACAACTCAGTTCCTACAAACTCTGTTTTATGATAAAGTGCTGTAAATAGCTCTTGTTTATAGCTAGATGTTTCTATATAGAACACATGACTTTTACCTATAACCCACTTCATAGCTTTGTTTCTCTTAGGAGGAGTGGCGCTCAGCTCTAAAAGGTTGCCCCACTTCTGCAATGTGCTTATGTCAGTTGTAGTTGGGAAAACCCAAGGACTGTTTGGGATTATTAAGAGTGATGAGCCCCAGAAATGGCTGAATGTGTGGCATGCTCAGGAACTTGGTGGTGAAGAGCTATTTCTGTTAAAAGCCAAAAGTGGGATTTAAAAACAAACAAAGAAAAACAGACAGAAGTGAAGATAATGTGACTCTTAGTAGGTGCTGTCAATGGAATAAGGGTCTCCAGGATTACGGAGTGTAAAATGTTATGGGCCATGACTGACTTTGGAGTAGCAGCTGCTAGCACTGTTCGGTCACCAAGCAGGGGAGGGGCTATGGCTCTGCTATAAATAGTGCTGGGAGCCAGAGTCGCTATGGAGACAAAACTGAATCCTATTACCTATGGGTCCTCTGTTGGGAGCAGGGGGGAAGGAGGGAACAGCATTTTGAGGACGCCAGAGGTATTGTAAATAGGACTTGTTTGTGAGCACAGGAGGTAAGAAGAACTCACTATCTAAATCAAATAGTGCCCTCTTATTTCAGGCAGTGTCTATGTCTGCAGTATGGGAGTGTGCACAGCGAATGAAGTGGGGTGTGTTTTGGTATGTGTGGCAGTGTAGTACGATTGTATGTATGTGTGTGCATACAGTGAACATGGTCTCATTGTGGCCATAGAAGAAAAATTTTGGAGCACCTGAAATATTGGAAGGAAACATTTTATTTAGAAGTATATGAAAACCTCATAGGAAGTATAGGTTCTTTAAAATGTATTTGTTTATTTTGTATGTGTGTGTGTGTCTGAGCATGTGCACATGCACTCCGTGAGTGCAACACTGAGAAGAGCAATGGTTTCCCTGGAACTAGTGGCACAGGCAGTTGTGAGACGCCCAGTGTGGGTACTGGAAACAGCCTAGGTCTTCTGGAAGAGACACCAGTGGTGCTTCCTTGAACACCTCCCCTGTACTTGCAGAAACCCTAGTTTCTTCAGTCCCTAAATCATAATCTCTTCAAGGTAGAGAAAGAGCAGGCCTCCTGGGAATATATTGCTTTATGGACTCCAATTCCAAAACCAGACTAGACAAGAGCTATTGGTTCAGCACCAAGGGCAGAGGTAATCGCTTCTTGGCCCCTCTCCCTTGAACTGGGAAAACTGGTCAGAGATGACAGTTGGGACATAGACTTCTTCATGTGAGATCACATGAGCTAGAATACCCAGCTGTTGTTACTGTCTGAGTGCAATTAACTGGAAAGTCCATATGATAGTTACACATCAAGCTGAAAGCCACTTAGTGAGACAGAATAATTAGGTTTCCACCTAGACGGAACAGCACAGATTAGTGCTGTTCAAACAGTCTGGTTGATCTTGATCACCCCTGAAGTATTCCTAAAAGCAACCTTTTTTTTGTCATGGTAATTATTCAGTCTAGATTAGACTGTCTAGGTCTGTTTTTCAGAAGCAGAGCCCCGGGAACTAGGCTGGAAATGAGCTAGTTAGTAGTGCTGAACCATTATTTCTCCAGCTCCTCTTCCTTCTCCTTTTTGTGGTACTAAGGATTGAAACCAGGACCTTGTACATACTAGATAAGGGCTCAACCGCTAAGCTATACCTTTAACTCCTATTCTACTTGAAATTTGACTCTCGGAGTCTATTTGACTCTGGAGCCCATAAACCTAGACAGGTGTCAAATTCTACCCCTGGTTCTGCATTGGAAAGCCTTCTGACCTGTGCCCCTGACTGAGATGAAACCAAGAGGGATGATTGCCTTAGGCACAGCAATATATATTCATCAGTACTCTTCCCCTATTGGATTTTCAGATTATATCAGAATTCCTCCTGGGAACGCCGACCTCTTGTTCAGTGCCCCGAAGTTTCTCTGCGATGAACTGATAAATTGGAACCATGGTGCAAAAGAAGCTCTGCCCTCGGTTACTTGACTATTTAGTGATCGTAGGGGCAAGGTAACTAAGAAGCTGACAATTGTCTCCTTCTCCAAGGCAGCCACAGTGTCCTCAGCTATTCCCAGACCTTATTTTCATGTTGTTTTGCATATCTTATTCTACCCTATTGTTCTACCCTGATGGGACATTGATGTTGGTAGAGAAGGCCACACAGCTGGTCTGGACAGAGACAACAAAACTCAGCTTTGTTTGGTTTTGAGATAAGTTTTTTCTGTATAGACTGGGCCAGCTTCAAACTCAGAGATCCACCTGCCTCTGATTCCCAAGTGCTGGTACTAAAGGCATGTGCCACCATACTCCGTTCAAAACTCAGGCTTCAGCTCACATCTTTGGGTAGGTGAAATGGCTTGGTGGGTAACAGTGCTTTCCACCAAACCTAATGAGCTGAATTAAATTCCTGGGACACACATGGTAGAAGGAGAGAAATTTCTCCTCAAGATATCCTCAGATGCCACTTATGTCCTGTAGGATGCATGCTGCCCCTTATAGGTAAATACAGGCTCTAAATTTTTAAACTCATACTCTATGGCTTTGAGCACATATACTCTTTATAGCCAAGTCTTGTAAAAAAAAAAAAAAAAAAAAAGAGAGAAAACACTTTTTTTCTTTTCCTTTCTTTATCTTTATCTTTTTTTTTTTTTTTTTTTTTTTTTTTGGTCTTTCAAGATAGGGTTTCTCTTTGGAGTTTGTCCTGGAACTTGCTCTGTAGACCAGGCTGGCCTCAAACTCACAGTGATCCACCTCCCAAGTGCTGGGATTAAAGGCATGAGCCACCAACACCTGGCTAGAAAGTACATTTTACTCCTTCTCTGCCTGCATATATTCTTGTGACAGACAATTTGTTAGCTAAGGCACTTTGAAGGGTACTGATCGTTTTTAGGTGGAAATGATAATTTTATTGTTGAAACTTTCAAGATAGTGTCTTGATGACAGTGCATACTTCAGTCTGCCAGTTAAACTTGGCAAGCAGTCCCTAGATATCCAAGGTCCTATAATTAGCTTACTTTATCTGAAAGTGTCTTTGAGCTTTGTTTGTTAATTGTGGCTAATGTGTGATAGTATGTTATATGCTTTTGTCCTTCAGGCACCCAAGCAGTGACAGTGTGGCTCAGACTCCTGAATTGCTGCGGCGGTACCCTCTAGAGGACCACCCTGAGTTTCCCCTGCCCCCAGACGTGGTGTTCTTCTGCCAGCCAGAGGGATGTCTGAGTGTGCGGCAGCGGCGCATGAGCCTTCGAGATGATACCTCTTTTGTCTTCACCCTAACCGACAAGGACACGGGAGTCACCCGTTATGGCATCTGTGTTAACTTCTACCGTTCCTTCCAAAAGCGAATGCCGAAGGAAAAGGTGGAAGGCGGAGCAGGACCCCGTGGGAAGGAAGGAACTCATGTCACCTGTGCCTCAGAAGAGGTTGGCACTGAGAGCTCAGAGAGCGGCCCCACCTTGCAGCCTCCTAGTGCTGACTCCACTCCTGACATGAACCAGTCTCCTCGGGGCAAACGCCATGCAAAGGCAGGCAGCCGCTCCCGCAACAGTACCCTAACATCCCTGTGTGTGCTCAGCCACTATCCTTTCTTCTCTACCTTCAGAGAGTGTCTGTATACTCTCAAACGTCTGGTAGACTGCTGCAGTGAACGGCTGTTAGGCAAGAAACTGGGCATCCCACGAGGTGTACAAAGGTATGGTTTGCTGCTTATACTCAGAAGAAAGGCAAAACATTCAGATATTAGATTAGTCTGTGCTCCTTTAGGACTGTTTAAATAGTTTGGTCCCAATGTAAAGACTGTAGTTATATTTCAAGAAATGCTGAGGCGTTTGATGTTTGATGGTGGACATGACATTGGGTTCCATCCCATAGACCTTTCTACACCTGTTTTTGTCATCATATATATGCTCAGGTCCCCTCTGGTTAGAGAGTGGCCTTTCCTAATAGTACTCCTCTTCCAGGCACTATAGTGCCTCTATTGGGTTGCAGTAGGATCAGTGCTAATGTTTCTGTGTCTGAGTCTTGGTGTGTGCTCCTTAGGGACACTATGTGGCGGATCTTTACTGGATCACTGCTAGTGGAGGAGAAGTCAAGTGCCCTTCTGCATGACCTTCGAGAGATTGAGGCCTGGATCTACCGGTTGCTACGCTCCCCAGTACCTGTCTCTGGGCAGAAGCGAGTGGACATTGAGGTCCTACCCCAGGAACTCCAGCCAGCTCTGACGTTTGCTCTTCCAGACCCCTCTCGATTCACCCTGGTAGATTTCCCACTTCACCTCCCCTTGGAACTTCTGGGTGTGGATGCTTGTCTTCAGGTGCTCACCTGCATCCTGTTGGAGCACAAGGTGAGAGGGCCAGCTCTGTAGACCTTTCTAGGAAGAGAGCTATACAGCGGGTTGGGAGCTAGATCATGAGTTTGTTGAGGATAGGAGCTGTGTGTCCTTTCCATCTTTTTATTTCCAGGAGGTAAAATGGTGGCAGGGATATGGCAGGTATTTGGTAGACATGAGTTGAATTACAGTGTTGGTGTCATGGGGAATACTTAGTTGAGGTATCCTTGGTTATACTGAGTTCATTCTCTGGGGATATCAGTAGTTCTCTTTTAGTGTGTAGTTCCTAGGATAGGGAGTGGCAGAACGAAGAGAGTTGATTCAAGGGAGGATTACTACAATATTTTGGTTGTGAGGTGACTGACGGGGCAGGGAATGGAGCCATGGTGATTGTGGAGATAAGCTGCAGCTATAGGCTTGGTGAGCCTGAAATTAAATTGGAGTGCTGGGAGTTGTTTCCTAGCAGACCTTGTGATTTATGGTGTGGCCTCGGCAGGTGGTGCTACAGTCTCGAGACTACAATGCACTCTCCATGTCTGTGATGGCGTTTGTGGCAATGATCTACCCCCTGGAGTACATGTTTCCTGTCATCCCACTGCTCCCCACATGCATGGCATCGGCAGAGCAGGTGAGTCTCACGGGGTCTTCCCACTGATGTCCTTAGCGTCTCATGGGAGGAAGCACACATCAAAGACGCACAGGTCCTCTGCCCTCGTAACTTACTAGTCTGAAATTCTGGATGGATTTGAACTGATTACATGGTAAAACTATGCTATTAGTAGTTTTGTTGCTACAGTTAGTGATTATAGACTCCTTGACACGTGCTATAGATGTTAATATACTGAAATATATTGTTACCTTTCTAAAATCTGAAAGATTATAAATTTTACAATATATCTAGCTGCAAGTATTTTTGTGAAAGGGATTGTCTGAATTTCCCTTTGTAGAAAATTCTGACTTGATTAAGTGCCCACAATAAATTTTGTCTTTGTTTCTTATCCTCTTTTATCTTTTCCACAGCTACTCTTGGCTCCAACCCCATACATCATTGGAGTTCCTGCCAGCTTTTTCCTCTACAAGCTAGACTTCAAAATGCCTGATGATGTGTGGCTAGTGGATTTGGACAGCAATAGGGTGAGGCATTGAACTGAAGCATTAAACAGGATCATGTTCTAGACCCAGTTATGTGTGATAACTGCTTTCTGGATTATTTCTATTACAACACTCATTAAAACATTTTTTTTCCTAATGCTGCTTTGATTATATTAAGGAGATAGGCCATTGGCTATAGAATTTAGTCTGGCATGACTTAAGAGCCCCTCCCACATGCCACAAGAGCCACAAGACTGCTGTTTTTGTATATGCCATTATATAGAATATAGATAACTTGGCAATAGTTTTCCTATGTTTTAAGTACAATGATTCTCAGCACACATTTAAAATTATATTAACATTCGGCAATGTGAGTATATTAAAACTCTGATAGAAAGCCTACATTTTGTTCATTATTAAATTTTAGAAAATAAAATTAAGTGTAGAGATGGGCCAGCAAGGTGGTTTAACAGATAAAGGAACTTGTCTCCAAGTCTGACAACCTGAATTCAATACCCAGCTCATGGTAGAAAGAGCCCTCTGACCTTCACACATGTTACACAGAATGCCTCCTCCCTCCAAACACAAATACATGTTAAACAAATACATAAAAGTAAATACAGGGGCTGGAGAGATGGCTCAGCAGTTAAGAGCACTTATTGCTCTTTCAGAGGATGTGAGTTCACTACCCAGCACCCATATCCGGTGGCTCATGAACCTCTGTAACTCCAGTTTTAGGGGATTTGATGCCTCTGACTTCTGCTAGCACCTGCATTCATACACATAATTAAAAATAATGGAAGTAAGTCTTAAAAACAAAGTAAATGTGAAGAAGAAAATATGATCTAAAACCCAATTATCTAGAGATAGTCACTAATTTTATTTAGTTGTATTTCTTTTCAGGCATGTAATATATATATATATATATATATATATATATATATATATATATATTCATTCATTCTCCTTGCACATGTTATTTGCTCTTATATAAGCAGAGCTCCTAGATAGTTCCTTTTTTCCTAAGGACATGTGTTTTTCTCTTTTCTCTGCTATAGGTGATTGCTCCCACCAATGCAGAAGTGCTACCTATCCTGCCAGAACCAGAGTCATTAGAGCTGAAAAAGCACTTGAAGCAGGTAGATGAGAAAATGAAAGGAAAGAAGGGGAAGGGTCTGCAAACTGTCTCAGTAGGCAATGGTGCCTGCCACCAACTCTGACGACTGGGTCCCACAAGGCGGAAGGAGTGAGCCTCCTGGAAGGCTCTCTGAGCTCCACAGATGTGCTGTAGCACACATGCACCCACACACATTCACAGACTCAACACAGTACATTAAAATGCCATAAAATTTTTAAATAAAGGAAATAGTAGATGATATAAGGGTCCTGTAGGAAGGGAGCGGGTCTAAGAACCTTCCTGTGGAATAGACTTGAATGTGCTTAAGGAGAGATATATCCAAATTTTGTGTAACAGGATGAATCTTAAAAGGTTCTTTCTAATTCATGGTTTGCTTTGTCACCCCGCAATGTGTATGTGTATGTATGCTATGTGTATGTATGCTTCTGGTCAGGTGTGGTGGCGCTTACCTGTAATCCCAACACAGGCTGATGAGGGGAATTGTGAGTTTGAGGTCAGCCTGGCCTACATGTCGAGACAAACTCGACCCAAACAAACAAAACCAAAGACACCATTCACTTTCTGTTTTTTGACATATCTGCCATTTTTTGTCTTCATAGCACTCCTTCAATCCTGTAAGGTGGAAGTTAGAAGGTTGTACAAATTTGCTTCATACATCAATTCCAAAGTCTTTATAAATACCCTTCCTAAAAAATCCCTTTCTTTGTATAACCCCATCCGCCCACTTTTTATTGATTGGTTTATTTTTTTCTTCTGCATGCTACGCACAGTACCTGAAGGTAAAACATGACGAGGCTCCATTCCCTTCCCCCGCTGGAGGTGTTATGTAGGACCACCAGTAGATAACCTTGCTTATTAGGAGTCCCAGTCTCATTTGAAGGCTCATTAGAAGTCTTTTTTTTTTCTGTATTGCCTAAAGTAACTAGTAGTTCCTCTAGAAGCTAGAGTTTAGATGGTACCGAATAGAACCGGGGTATTGACTGGAATGGAGTCATTCTGCATCATCCCTTTCACTCTCCTTGCTTCATCATTGCTGATGTAATATGATTCCTTGTTGCAGCAGAGCCTGGTGAGGGTTGCAAGTTCAGAAAGTTTAGCAAGTTCATTCTCTTTTTAAAATAGCTTTCTTGTTGTTGATGTTGTTGTTGTTGTTTTGCAAGACAAAGTCTCACTTTGGAACTCTGGTTGTCCTAGAACTCACTATGTAGACCAGGTAGGCCTTGAACAAACAGAGATCCACCTGCCCTTGCCTCTGAGTGCTGGGTTGGAAGGTGAATACTATTCTGTGACTGGCTGGCTGCCTCTTTGGATGTGTTTTATTTTATTATTTATTTATTTTAAAAGATTTATTTATGATGTATACAGTGTTCTGTCTGCGTGTATCTCTGAAGGCCAGAAGAGGGCACCAGATGGTTGTGAGCCCTCATGTGGTTGCTGGAAATTGAGGTGAGGATCTCTGGAAGATCAGTTAGTATTATTAACCATTGAGCTATCTCTCCAGCCCCTATGTTTTTAATTCTTGATGACTGCTTAAGAATGGCTAATGTGAAACTGGCCTTGGTGGCACACACCTTTGCTGTGAGTTTGAGGCTAGTCTGGTCTACATAGTGAATTCCATTCACCTTGTCTCAAAAAGAAAGGAGGGAGGAAAAGAGAGAGAGAAAGTTGGAAGAAGTGGGCAAGAAAGTGTGAGAGAGACAGAGCAGAGAGAAAGAGAGAGAAAATGACTCACGGAAAGAGTAAGTGCTATATGAATTTATGCCAGTTTACTACTGTGTAGTCCGTAGACCAGCAGTATTAACAACAATTGACCTTAAACCACAGAATCACCCAGATGCACTAATTCCAAATATACTGTAACACCAACCCAGGTGATTCCTAAGCTCACCCACATTTAACAAGCACTGGTGGTTTTCAAAGTGCATCATGTAGTCTCTTTGAGGGTCTTTTAAGTTGGGAACTTGAAACTTTGTTTTTGTTTTGTTTTGTTTGGGGGGGATTGTTGTTTTCATAGTTGTGGCTGTCTTGGAGAGGATCTGGGTTTTTGTTGTTGTTTTGTTTTATTTGTTATTTTTTGTTTTTGTTTTTGGGACAGTTTCTCTGTGTAGTCCTGGCTGTCCTGGAACTCACTCTGTAGACCAAACTGGCCTCAAACTCATAGATTTGCCTGCCTCTTCTTCTTGAGTGCTGAGACCAAAGGGATGTGCCACCTGGCAAGGCTCTGGGGTTTTTCTTTCTTTCTTTTTTGTTTTTTGGTTTTTTTTTTTTGTTGTTGTTGTTTGTTTTTTGTTTTTCAAGACAGATTTCTCTGTGGCTTTGGAGCTTTCCTGGAACTAGCTCTTGTAGACCAGGCTGGTCTTGAACTCACAGAGATCTGCCTGCTAGGACTAAAGGCATGCGCCACCACCGGCAAGGCTCTGGTTTTTTATGTCCTTCTAAGTAGCTCTGTTTTTATAGTTTACTTGTTCATATTTCTATATGCTTTTCAATTTGAAAATCACTTCCTGGATAAAATAAAGGGAAATCTTTGTCTTGGACTTCATTTTTATTTAAAATGCCTGAGCTTGGTTGACTTAAAATGGACAGCTACATAATTCTGGCTATTTTCTAAAAGCTAAATTATTTTATGCTTCTTTTTCAAAGATACATAATCTAAAATGAGTTGGTCATGATTTTCAAATGAGCACAGTTCTTTGTAGAGAATTTTGTGACCAGAGAGTGACAGGTAGAAGACAGACTTCTTTTTTTTTCTTTCTTTTTTGTTTTTGTTTTTGTTTTTTTTTTTGTTTTGTTTTTTGTTTTTTGAGACAGGGTTTCTCTGTGTTACTTTGGCTATCCTGGAACTCTGTAGACCTAGCTGGCCTCAAAGTCACAGAGATCTGCTTGCCTCTGCCTCCCAAGTGCTGGGATTAAAGGTGTGCATACCATCATCTGGGTGGTAGAATACTTTAAAACAGCCCTTTCCTAGGAGCCAAGGCTGGCTGCCTAAGAACCTGTCTTATATGAGGACTTTTGTTGTTCCCAGGCCCTAGCCAGCATGAGTCTCAACACCCAGCCCATTCTTAATCTGGAGAAATTCCATGAGGGCCAGGAGATCCCCCTTCTCTTGGGAAGGCCTTCTAACGACCTTCAGTCCACACCTTCCACTGAATTCAATCCACTCATTTATGGCAATGATGTAGATTCAGTCGACGTTGCCACCAGGTAAGACCATGAGTTCCTAAGTTTGTTTCTCTGTTCTCTTGATTTTGGGGGAGACCACTTCCTGGAGCCAGGTTTACTTTATATATAAAATGTGTGTGATATTTGGTTATATTTCCTACCTTAGCAAAAGTAAGGAGAAGAAATAGTTCACCTTCTCAGCATGAAGAAAAAGGCTAATGGTTCTTTAAGATGTCTCCCCATGATGGTGTTTGAAACCTGTTAAACAATGGTATTAGCAGGTGGTCTAAGACCTTGTATCATGGCTATCCTAATGATACAGGGTATGGGTCTTGGATTATCTCATCACCCCCTTCTTTCCCAGAGTGGCCATGGTTCGTTTCTTCAACTCTGCTAACGTGCTGCAGGGCTTTCAGATGCACACACGTACCCTGCGACTCTTCCCCCGACCTGTGGTAGCTTTCCAAGCTGGCTCCTTTCTGGCCTCACGTCCCCGGCAGACCCCTTTTGCTGAGAAACTGGCCAGGACTCAAGCTGTGGAGTACTTTGGAGAATGGATCCTGAACCCTTCTAACTATGCCTTCCAACGAATTCACAACAGTGAGTCCACCTGCCCTCTGCTTGCTGCATTGCCTTTGCCCCTGATGGCCCTCTTTTGCTTCCTTCCTTATTGCGTTAGACTGCCCTACTTTCTGCTTTTCTCTACTGCTCACCATTCTTCCTCTTCGGGTAGATATGTTTGATCCAGCCCTTATTGGTGACAAGCCTAAGTGGTATGCTCACCAGCTGCAGCCCATCCATTATCGAGTCTACGACGGCAATTCTCAGCTGGCTGAGGCCTTGAGTGTGCCACCAGAGCGTGATTCTGATTCTGACCCCACTGATGACAGGTGAGCAGTCCCTTGTGCCTGCCAGGAGGCAAAAATGTTGTAGCAGTTGTAGATGTGAGTCTTTGAAGCTTTGTATTAGATTTCAGTTGGTTTTTTTCTTTAGAAGAGATTGATTTATTTTGTGTGTGTGTGTGTGTGTGTGTCTGTCTGTCTGTCTAGTGAATATATATGTATAGATGTGCTCTCTAATGTGTGTATAAGCCAGAAGAGGGTATCAGTCCCTTAGAACTGAGTTAACAGGAGTTTGTGGCACACGTAACTTGTTAGGTGGGTGCTGGGATCCAAACTCTGGTCCTTATGATTGTGCAGCAAGCTCTCCTCAGCACTGGACCATCTCTGCAGCCTGTTTCTTCCTCCTCCTCTTCTCCTTCTACTTCTTTAAATATTTAAAGTTTATTATTTGAGTTCCACACATATATGCTGCTGTTCCTCCCTTCTTTTTATTTTATTTTATTTTTTGTTATTGTTGTTGTTGTTCTTTGTTTGCTTGCTTTTGTTTTTTGAGGTAGGATCCCATGTAGTATGTAGTTGGTGATGACCTTGAACTTCTGATCCTCCTGCCTCTACCTCTGAAATGCTGGGGTTATAGGTGTATACTGCCACACCCAGTATATGTGATACTAGGAATCAAATCCAGTGCCTCCTGCCTGCCAGGAAGGTACTCTACCACCTGAGTTACAAACCCAGTACTTTGGTAGGTTACTTTTTGTGGGTTTTGGTTTATTTGATTTTTTTATTTTGTGTGTTTAAGTGTCTTGCCTGATGTGCATGCCTGGTGTTCATGGAGGGCAGAAGAGGGCATTGGATCCCGTAGAACTAGAGTTATTGTAAGGAGTCTTTTCTGTCCTGTCAGCCAGCTCCCAAATAATGATACAGAGACTTATTATTAATCATGTAAGCTTGGTCTTAGCTTAGGCTTGTTATTAACTAGCTCTTATAAGTTAAATTAACCCATTTCTATTAATCTACATTCTGTCACATACTGCTTGTCCTGCTATTTCCATGTCTCCTGGCATCTCTCACATTCCTAGATTCATCTCCTACTTCCTCTCACTCTGCCTGGAAGTCCCGCCTATACCACCTGCCTGGCTATGGGCTGTTCAGCTCTTTATTAAACCAATCACAGCAATACATCTTCACACAGTGTACAAGTGTCCTACAACAAGTTACAGGCGTTTATAAGCATCCTTGTGGGTGCTGGGAATAGAACCTGGATCTTCTGGAAGTACAGCAAATGTTATTAACTCTTTGTCTGTTTTTATATTTTTATATTTTATATAATATATATTATATATTTATATTTTTATATTTTATATTTTGAGACAGAGTTTCAGTGTATAGTCTAGGATGACCTCAAACCCACACAGTTCTCCCACCTTAAAGCCTGGGTTATACAAAAGCCACTATAATCAGCTCTGATTGACATCCATGTTTTATCTTGTATTCTGGCCTTGAGTTAACTGTGCTCCTCTTTATGTTGTTCTAAACACTGATTGTGAATTCTTTTTTAAAATGTGCATTGGTGTTCTGTCTGCATGTGTGTCCATGTGAAGTTGTCAGATCCCCTGGAACTGGAGTTATAGACAGTTGTGAACTGTCATGTGGGTGCCAGAAATTGAACCTGGGTCTTCTGGAAGAGTATCCAGTGGTCTTAACCATTGAGCCAGCTCTTCAGTCTCCCTGATTGTGGATTTTCTGATTTACTTTGTTTCTATTTTATTTTGAGATAAGGTCTCATGTGTCCTAGGCTGGATTAAGATTACTAAAAATGGCCTTGAATTTCTAATCCTATTGTCTCTACTTTCCAAGTTTTGGTATTGTAGGAGTGCACATCCATACACTGAACCCAGGCCTGCCTACATGCTTCAATTGAGCTTCAGCTTCTTTCTTTAAAAAAAAAAAAAAAAAGAAAGAAATTCAACAATTTATGTGGGGTATGTGTATGTTTGTTTGTGCACGTGTGGGCGCATATGCGCATGTGAGTTTGTGTGGCTCTGTGTGTATGTGGACATCAGAGGACAACTTGAGGTAGTGGGTTCTCTCCTACCATGTGGGCCCCAGGGATCAAATTCAGGTTGACAGGCTTGGCAGCGAGAGCCTTAACATCCTGAGTCGTCTGGGTCAGCTTCCTCTTCCTTTTTCATTCTTTTTACTTTGCAGTGGCAGTGATAGTATGGGTTATGATGACTCAAGCTCTTCCTACTCCTCCCTTGGGGACTTTGTCAGTGAAATGATGAAATGCGACATCAATGGTGATACTCCCAGTGAGTATACTTGGGAAGACTGGCCATTGCTAGGCAGGAATTGTGTTTGGGGTCTAGAGTAGTCTTTGCCTGTCTCTCGGTAGATGTGGACCCTCTGACGCATGCAGCCCTGGGAGATGCCAGTGAAGTGGAGATTGATGAGCTTCAGACGCGGAAGGAGGGCGAGGATCCTGGCCCAGACAGTGCCACCTCTCAGGGAAATCCCCCGCTCCGCTCGAGCTGCGGCACTGCTGCTAGCAGCAGCCCTGGCACTGTCGCCCACGGTGCCCACTCTGTACGTGAGGACTTCGAGGGATGGTCGGTGAGGGGATGTGGGCCCCATCGGGAAGACTTTACTGCAGCTCTTCCCCTCTTTTTCTCTATAACCTCCTGACTAAAAGCCTCTGCGATGGAGCTTTAATCCCAGGAGAGGGACCTTTGACTTCCTTTAAGTGGTCACTATTGTCTGCTTACGTAGTCTGTCAGTCCAGAGATCAAGAATACATTTCACAGGCTAGGAATCTGACAGATCTGGTCTGTCCCACTGAACTGAGACTGTGGGAAGAAGGCATCACTGGGTATCAGGTGACCACTTTTTATTTAATGTGACACCCTAGGAACACGCTGATTCTACAGAGATGGATGATAAGGTGGCAGCAGGCAGCTCCAAGCCCCTCACTCCTGTGCCTCTGGGCATTTGCAAATCTACTGTGGACAGGAGACAGACAGAGACTGGAGAGGGGTCAGTGTACCAGCGAACGAATGACAATCCATACTTCGAGCCCCAATATGGCTTTCCCCCTGAGGAAGATGATGATGAGCAGGGGGAAAGCTATACTCCCCGATTCAGCCAACATGTCAGTGGCAATGGGTGAGAGCCTGGGAATCCTTTTTTAGGTGGGTGATTAAAGGGCCTCACTGCAGTGACCCCGGGTGAGGGTTAGTCACAAAGTCTGAAAACTTGCTATTCTGCCATCCCCAGAGGGTAGTTTTTTGAACTAAGGACTTAGGAATTATGGGACAAGAACAGCAACTGCAGTGTAGCATAAGGCCCACTCCCAAGATTAGGTACCCCTACCTGGGACTCATGGGTGCCACTGTGCATTCAAGGGCTCAAAAGCTGCTGCGGCCCAACAGCTTGAAACTGGCAAGTGACTCAGATGCAGAGTCAGACTCCAGAGCAAGCTCTCCCAACTCCACTGTCTCTAACAACAGCACCGAGGGCTTCGGGGGCATCATGTCTTTTGCCAGTAAGTACCTCAAGCTCCCTCACTCCTCTGCTTCATTTTCTTTCTGGTATATGTTGCTTAGAACTTGAGATGCAGAGCTAGGTTAACATTAGTCCTAATTCAGATCATTTGAGTGATACTGAATGAAATATTTATAAATGAGATAAAAGAAACACCAGCTGCATTAGTCAATAAATATGTATATGTGTTTGTATGTAGAGTGTATGCACGCATGTGCACATATAGGCCATAGCATGAATGTGGCGGTCAGAGAACAACTTTCAGGAGTTAGTTCTATCCTCCCCTGTGGCTCCTCAGGATCAAACTCAGGTTGTTAGGATTGGTAGTAAGTGCCTTTACCCATTGCTAATCTTATTGCTAATCCACTTACATATGTATTTCAGACAATATAGACAAAAATTAAATTATAAATCATACAGTTTTACATATACTTAATAAAAATATTTACTCAAATTTGTTTTGGATGTGCTATCTTCTTTGCCTGGTAAGGAGCCTTAATGAAAATGTTTGAAATATATATACAACTGATTTTCATGCTTACTTTTATCATATGAGGGCTAGAGTCATTTATAGATTATTGATTGACTAGGGCTAGTGAGAGCCACCATAAAGGATGATTGTAGTTGTAGGTGTCCTTAAGATCCAGGTAAGAATATCATTTCAGATCAAAAGCATATGAACCACCAGCTTTCATGCAGTGTTAGCAGAAAATGGGAGATTATTACAGGAGGAAGCCAGAGGAAATTATTACTACATTTTGAGCAGACCTGGCCATTTTTTTTTTTTTTTTTTTTTTTTGCCCTAAGTAGCACTTCATCTTTTCTAAGGTAGAACAGAGATTTCTGATGAAGCCATTGATGGTGATGTGATAGTTACTGTACTGGGATGCTGTGGATGTTTGTCCTATTGACTCGTGGCTTTCATACCCTCCCCTTTGTAGGCAGCCTGTATCGCAACCATAGTACAAGCTTCAGTCTTTCAAACCTCACACTGCCCACCAAAGGTGCCCGAGAGAAGACTACACCATTCCCCAGCCTGAAAGGTAATCTCAGCCTTTCTTTTGTCAAACCAGGTCTCTCTGGGAGACATGTTAGATGTATAGGTGTTTGTTGGGAGCCCTGTGTACCATGAATCATTTGACCTGGCTGTTGCCTCATATTGCTTATCATGGCTTTCACTGCACACCATAGCGCTAAGTAGTTGCAGATAGAAATCATCTTTGTAGCTGGAGGAGGCCCTTTTATATCAGTAGGACAGTAGCAGCATGGGATTACCTCTGCTTTGCGGAGGACCTTATCAGAAAGTAATATATGCTAACACGGGGATAATCAGCTGCCCTCAGTCATCTTCAGATTCTCACCACATGAACTGGTCCCACAGGAGGAGCTGGTCCACAGGAGGATATTATGGACAATTTAGCTGTATTTATAGAATCTAGCCATTTACTGTGGCTTCATGCCAACTTTTGATCTATCAATATTATTGATTGACTTTTAGGGTCATACCATATTTCATTTCATCTATGATCTTTATAGCTTGAGGGACTTTTGCTCAATTTAATTTGACTTTTAAATTTTATTCATGGATATTGTGCTGAAATATTTAATTAGAGTAATAAGTACAGTGAGAAGCAACCATTTTATTGATACAGGGTTTTCCTCAAATTTACAGTCTTCCTCCCTGAACCTCCCTAGTCCTGAGATTATAGACATGTACTGCCTATCACATCCAGCCAGAGCTATTGGGGGCCTCGGGAATGCTCATTAGTGGGGCTGGGTGCAGTAGATGGATAAAAGGAGGTTAGAGTAGTAATACAGAAAACTAGCTGGTATTGCTAAAATGAATCCTCAAATGGGTGGGTAAATTAGGGATGGAAAGGTGTGTTAGCTTCCCTGGCTTTCATCTGGAATATTTGAAGGGAAGAGAAATTGAAATGCGTTCATTGCATGCAATGCTTCATCTCATGTGCTGCACTCAGCCTTTCTACCCACACCCCGTCCTCACTACTGCACCCTTACTTTCCATCTACAAGGTGTATCCTCTCTGTGGGTACCCATAGCTTCTCAGGATCCCTGTGCTAGATATTTACTAAAACCAGTGTTCTGTCTTTCATGCATGCGCCTGTTTAGTATCTGAAGGCCCTCTGTGTCATTTTCCTTGCCCCTGGCTTTGAGCGGTCCTAGACCTAAGAATGGGCTTTCTAAGAGCCTTGGTTATCTCTTGATCACTTGGCTTCCAGCTTTAATGTGCCCCAAAACCAAGGTTATTTGTGCTTTCCATGCTTTGAGAGAGTGCTCAGGTGATCCGACTTACTACTCCATCAAGGGGTACAGGGGTTCAGGTATTGTGGTGCACCTACTAATTGTGTATTTTTGTCCCAGTATTTGGGCTAAATACTCTAATGGAGATTGTTACTGAAGCCGGCCCTGGGAGTGGTGAAGGTGGGTCTTCCCCGTGAGCTGTGCATGATTTTTATCCCCCTTAGCATCTTCTCCGCCTGCCTGAGGGCCTCCTCATGGAGCAAGTGACGTCACATGAGTGACCTGCCTTGCTTATCCCCCACGACACCCATGCAGCCCATGGGGCATGCTGCTGGTGCATGTGGAGTGGCCTGAGTCTCCATCCCAACCTCCTGCACATTGCCATGCCGCTTTCTACCTGTGTGTGATGATCTGGTGCCATCCAGCCCAGACCAGCTGGAGAATGGGTCTGGACAATGGCAACCCAGTGTATGATAATGTGAGCCCCCAGACTGTGCCAGTGATGTGTCTCATCACTACCTTCCCTACTGTAGGAAACAGGAGGGCCTTGGTGGACCAGAAGTCATCTGTCATTAAACACAGCCCAACCGTGAAAAGAGAACCTCCATCACCACAGGGCCGGTCCAGCAATTCTAGGTAATAAATGGCAGAGCAGCTTTGTTTTGTTTTATTTATTTATTTATTTATTTTTTGAGACAGTCTCATGTTGCTTACCACACTTGACTCAAACTCAATATGTAGCTGAGGATGACCCTGAATTGATCTTCAATCCCCAAATGATCGGGTTACAGGCATGCACCAACACACTCAACTGCAGAACAGTTTTAAAGTTCTCAGGTGGAGTAATGTTTCCTTTTTTTTTTTTTTTTTTTTTTTTTTTTTGAGGGATGCTCAAGATTGGGAGAGCAGCTCTCAAAACAATAGATTTAATTTTTTTGTCAGCACTTCATTTTTTGGGGGGAGGGGGAGGATGTTTCAAGAGAGGGTTTCTCTGCATAGCCCTGGCTATCCTAGATCTCACTCTGTAGACCAGGCTGACCTTAAACTCACAGAGATCCACCTGTTTTTGCCTCCCAAGTGCTGGGATTAAAGGCGAGCACCACCCCTGTCCAATAGTACTTCCCATTTTTAACCAGTCCCCAGGCAACAGTAGTGGTTTATGGTGTGGAGGAAGGTGAAATTGCAGGATTCTGGGGAGTTAGCAAACAAGATCCTTGGGGAGATAGGAGTGTGGTGGCCATTTTGGAGACTATTGCTTTATGCTTTGCCCTGGGGTAAACATCTTGTCTGGTGAAAGAAGGGATGCTCTGCCAAGGATCAGATGACCACAGAAGTGGTTTGTGGGTCCTGTAGCGAGAACCAGCAGTTCCTGAAGGAAGTGGTACACAGTGTGCTGGATGGCCAGGGAGTAGGCTGGCTCAATATGAAAAAGGTGCGCCGGCTGCTGGAGAGTGAGCAGCTCCGAGTCTTTGTGCTGAGCAAGCTGAACCGAGCAGTACAATCAGAGGACGATGCCCGGCAGGATATCATCCAAGATGTGGTAAGTATTTGGGCTAGGGAGTCAGAATCAACTGGGCAGAAGGATGCGGATGTTAAAGTTTCTAGCTCTGGGTCCTTGCTATTATTGCAGGAGATCAGTCGGAAGGTGTACAAGGGAATGCTAGACCTCCTCAAGTGCACGGTTCTTAGTCTTGAGCAGTCCTATGCCCACGCAGGTCTGGGTGGCATGGCCAGCATCTTTGGGCTTTTGGAGATTGCCCAGACCCACTACTATAGTAAAGGTAGGGATCCTACTTGCTGTATGCATATCATTTTCCAGTGCCACTCTGCTTCCAGTACTCTTTGGGCGTGTTTTCTGGTATGTTTATATGTAGGGAATCTTTTCCTACCATGAAGAATAAGGCCTTAACTTTTTTTCTTTTTTTTGTTTCCCCATGTTACTAACTGCTCCACATCTCCCTCTATTCTGGCTTTTCTCCTCTCCTTTTCCTGACTTGATTCCTATTTGATGGCTCCTTTAGCCACTGTCTGTATTTGTTCCTTTCCTCAGAACCAGACAAACGGAAGAGAAGTCCAACAGAAAATGTAAATACCCCTGTTGGCAAAGACCCTGGTCTGGCTGGGCGGGGGGACCCAAAGGCTATGACACAGCTAAGGGTCCCTCAGCTGGGTCCTCGGGCACCAAGTGCTACAGGAAAGGGTCCTAAAGAACTGGATACCAGAAGTTTAAAGGAAGAGAATTTTGTAGCATCTGTTGGTATGTATCATTGCGCTTGATATGTCCTGGCGTCTTAAATATGCTCCCTTTCTCTCAATTCATCCTGACTTTATCTTCCCATGCTTGCTTTTCAGAGAGGGAGGGGTTTTTGTCAATTTCCAATAGCATTTTCTTGTACATGTCTGTCTTCCTGCTTACTCTGTAGCTGCCTCACCAGCATCTTTGAGTAATAATGCAAGTTTGCTTAGAGTCCCGTGTGATGCAGTATAGGGAGTCTGAACTGTATTCTCTGTCTCTTTTTTATTTACATCTGAATTTCTTATAGAGAAAACATGTTCCTGGAAACTGTTAGGAAATTTATAGACATGTCTTCGGGATGTAAAATTATGACTATCTGGGTCTCTGCATCCAGTTTCCTGCCCCACTCCCGTCCAGGCACTGTCTGGGATGTGTTCCTCTCTGGCATGTAGGGGTTCTCGACTCCAAGACTATAGATTTCTGAGCTGACTCTTCTTTTTGTCTTTCCACCCCAGACCTGATTAAAAACCTGCTCATGTCTGGTGTTCCGTCATCTGCTCTCTGACATCGCCTCTTTGGCTCATTGCTACTTGACCTTGGGTCATCTAGGATACTTCCTTTTTGGTTCTAGGTCCCTGGTCTCTAATGCTGTGCTAAACTGATGCTTCTTTGGTATGGCCTCTAGCCATGTCCAGTTCTCATAGGAATGAATCAGCTCTCTTCTTAGGACATCTCCAGGTCTCTGGTTTGCATATATTCTTCTAGAAGCAGTAGAAAAGCTGGGCTTTCTCCTGCCTCATACGATGTTCCAGGAAAAAAAAAAATGACCTGTTGTCTTGAAAGTCTTGAATCTACTCCTACAGATTACTTCCCTATCAGGATCTCTCTCACCTCATCTAGGAAATGAAGAAATTATACTAAGTAAACTCTGAAGTTCCTTCCAGAAAAAAAAAGAAACAGCTATGATTGGTACTCCCTGAGCTTTGTTTGACTTAGAAGCTAGTCTTGGCCATTTTCTGCTCTGTTACTTCTACTAGAAGCATTTTTCCTAGATAGTGACTAAGACTGGATTTCTTGGTTGAGCAGGCAGTAGTTCTGAGGGTAAGCTGGTTAATTGGTAGCAACAAGAAGATTGCTAATGAACAACTGATCTGGCTTTTGTCCAATCTGGTGTGTCAAGCAAATTTCTCCTTATGTTTCTGAGATTTTTTGATTGTTTGAGGTGACTGTCTCTTACCTGTAGCTCGTGAGCAGGGCTATTGTTCAGCTCATTTGGCAGTGAGATCATCGTGTGATGGGAAACCACTGATCTTCTCCAGCTCCCCTAGGGTCCAGTTTCTCATACAAAATAAAGTGGTTTCATGAAGAGCCCTTCTAGCTCAAAGATTCTGCAGAGTGTTTACAACGGGAATAGGATTAGAAATGTGTAGTCTTCAGTTCATGATTTGGGATGGGGGCCAAACATGGATCTCTCGATTCCCCAACCCTACACAAATGAAGATATCTCTGTACCTCTTAACTGCTAATACAGCGTCTGAAGCGGAATGAGCTTGGGTGGGGGTCTCTGGTCCTCTGACACGCCTCTGACTCTCTGTCTCTCTCTCCTGCTTGCATTGCATCTGGGGTAGAATTGTGGAACAAGCACCAGGAAGTGAAAAAGCAAAAGGCTTTGGAGAAACAGAGTAAGGAACAAATGCCCCTTCCTGTCCCTCAGTCTCCCATACCTGCCAACTTCCCAGGCCCAGTTGGGGCAGGCTCCCTTTGTCAGCCCCACCCCAAATTTGTTCTTGGGTTGTATTTGGAGGAAGAGTTGTAAAGACAGGACAGGGGATTCTTGGGGCAGGTAGTGTGTGAATCCTAGGTGTATGGCTTGTAAGCTGCTCCTTGCCCCTCCCTTCATTAGCAATCAGGCGTCTACTGTGTACAATAGCTAAACCTTGGTTTTCTATTGCTGTATAGCTGGTGGGGCAAACTTCTGCTGATTGCAGCACCCCTCCTTGGCTGATACCTCCCTCACCTTTAGGCCTGTGGGTGTAGTTGGCAGAGATGGTTGCTGTCCCTCTGTGTTGAGTCTGTAGCTTCCCAGCTCTATCTAGTGGCTTGCCTAGGCACAAGTTCTTGCTTTCTGTTGTTCTGTCCTTCTGCCATATACCATTGGGGGTGGGTGAGTTAAAATAGGGGCTTTTTTTTTTTTTTTGTCTCAAATGTAGATGGTGTAGGGTGGGGGTAGGCAGTACCCTGGGAAAGTGTCTCTCTCTTTCTTTTGCCCTAACCTTTTCTGGTCTCTTTGGATACCTTAGTCAGGAATCATTGAGCATCCTGGGAACAGTCTCAGGCACAGTGGGACTCTGACTTTGGGTGCTGTGGACTGGGGTTTGTTTATGGGATGTTTTGTGTTAGGATGATTTGCTCTGGATTTTCTCAGGTTGAGAAGATGGCTTCAGAGACCCTTGGCCAGCTTTAATGTACAACTTTAATGTTCTTAAGGCTTCTGGGGACCTTCTGGTGGGGAGGGGCAGTCCCTGGGAAGTGACTGGGATGTGATGAGCAGGTCTGCAGCATACTCTGCTGCTGTCCCACTCCCTTCACCAGCCCACCTCAAGCTTCTGTGCTGAATAACAGAAGTCTTCCCTACTCAGGACCGGAGGTAATCAAGCCTGCCTTTGACCTTGGCGAGACAGAGGAGAAAAAGTCCCAGATCAGCGCAGACAGTGGTGTGAGCCTGACATCTGCTTCCCAGGTTTGTGACAGCCTTCCCGAAAACTGTCAGGACTAAATTACTATCTCATATACATATGTACTATGTGTGTGTATATATGTATGTATTAGCAGTGAGAATTAAATTCAGGGTATACATTATAGGTAAAGACTACCATTAAATTATACCCTTAACTCCCAAAATACTTCTTACAGTTAACAAAAGAAGAAAACAATCTTAAATATAACAAATAATAGGGAATAATTAAATAAATATTATAGAGTCATGGAATGTAATACTATCAATTGTGTTTTCAAAAATTTATCAACACAGTATGATTAAATATACACATATACATACACATTATGAGATACATACATATATCTGAAATACATATATTGGGGGGGTCTTACTGTATAGTCCTGTCTGGCCTAGAACTTGCTCTGTAGACCAGGCTATCCTTGAACTCACAGATGGGCCTGTTTCTGCCTCCCAAGTGCTGGGATTAAAGGTATGTGCTACTCTGCCAAACTTCAATTTAGTTTTTGAAAAAATATATCTAGAAAAGACTAAAAGACTAACAGGCTGTATACTAAAAATAGAGGTTAAATTGGGTAGTAGATTTATGGCTTATTCCTATTTCTTTATTCTTCCTTTTGTTTTCCACATCCAGTTTGTATTTACTTAATGTATTATTTCATTGTACATTCAAGCTACATTCCAGCTAAGAAAATAATTAATTGCTCAGGACCTCTCTAGAAGCAACAAAGGTGTTTCCTTTGTTTTATTTCAGAGGACAGATCAAGACTCTGTCATCAGTGTGAGTCCAGCTGTTATGATCCGGAGCTCAAGTCAGGACTCTGAAGTTAGCACTGTGGTAGGGGTACCACATTGGCTTCTTTGTGGGCGGGTGTGGCTGTCTCCTTGCAGGGCTCTTTCCCTTCGGAGGCTGTATTTAGTCTCAGGCCAGCTTGAGTCTCATAGGTGTGTGCACAGAATGTCACTCATCTATAAAGGGGAGTTTGGGGAAGCTGTTTGACACACCTGAAGAGTGATTCTTTTTATAGTAGTATAGGATCCTAACTGGCATTGGGAGTCCTTCTCTGGGAACTGACCCTTACTACTGTTTGTCTTTTCCAGGTGAGTAATAGTTCTGGAGAGACCCTTGGAGCAGATAGCGACCTGAGCAGCAATGCAGGTGATGGGCCAGGAGGAGAAGGCAGTGCCCACTTGACAAGTTCTCGGGCTACACTGTCTGACAGTGAAATTGAAACCAATTCTGCCACAAGCACCATCTTTGTAAGCTTTATTTACTAACAAAAGACTGTTTCTTTAATGGGAGAAGAAAGGGGTTTAGTACGGAATGAAAAGTTAAGAGACAATGAGGAGAAGAAAGTGGGGCAGGAACTGTGTGATTCGGCAGAACACTTGCTGAGCATGCCCACGACACTGCAGAAGAAAGGAGGACCTTGCCATAGTCACCCAGCAAGGTCTGCTGCAGCTGTGATGGCTCTCTTCCCTCCCTCCCTCCCTGCCTCCCTGCCTCCCTGCCTGCCTCCCTGCCTCCCTGCCTCCCTCCTTGCCTCCCTCCCTGCCTCCCTCCCTGCCTCCCTCCCTGCCTGCCTCCCTGCCTCCCTCCCTGCCTGCCTCCCTGCCTCCCTGCCTGCCTCCCTGCCTGCCTCTCCTCCTCCTTTCTTTCTTTCTTTCCTGTCTGGTTTTTTTCCTTCTTCCTCTACCTCCTCTTCTTTTTTGAGACAGTCACACTGTAACCCAGGCTGGCCTCGAGCCTGTGATCCTTCGGCTTCAGTTTCCCTGGGATTACAATGTGTGCCCCACACCCACATGAAATAAATCACTCATTTCTTATCTCACCCCTCTGCTTTGCAGCAAACACCTGCTTCCTTAGACAGAGTTATCTACTCTGATATATGTGCCACTTTATTAAGACGACAGTGGATACCCTCCACAACAGCTTTTCTGTCCTTTTGTCTACAGAGGAAAATGGAGGCATTTATTTATTCATTCATTTATTTATTTATTTATTTATTTATTTATTTATTTATTTATTTTTAAGACCATTGGTTCTTATTTATGTCTCTATGTCCTTCAGTATGTGCCAAACAGAGCCAATGGATGCTGAGATAGAATTAAGAGTTAGCAGGGCTGCTCAAGTTACGGGGCTTGACTCTCTGAGTCTACAGAGACTATTTTAATAAGAGTGTTTAAAAGCTCCTTCCAGCTGGGTGTGGTGGCTCATGCCTGTAATCCTCCTTCTTGAGGGGCTGAGATAGAAGGATCTTAAGTGTGAGGCCAGCCTGCTACATGGTAAGACCTTGTCAAAAATGGGTGGGGCCTGGAAGATAGTAAAGGCTCTTGCCTGAGTTCCATCCTTGAAACTTCATGGTGGAAGGAAAAAATCAACTCCTGAAAGGTGTTTCTCTGGCCTACACATGCATGCCAAGACAAATTTGTAAATCCCCTCCCTCCCCAGCCACACATGTACAAAATGAGTAAGTGTTACTTTAAAAAGTCTTTTAAAACCGAGATGGCTCAACAGTTAAGAGCACTGGCTGCTTTTCCAGAGGACCTGGGTTCAGTTCCCAGCACTCACATGGCAACACACAACTGTCTGTAACCTCCGTTCCACGGGATCTGATGCCCTCATACATACATATATGCGGACAAAACACCAATGCATATAAGATAAAATTTTAAAAAAAAGTTAAATCTTTTTAAAAATTCCTTCATTGTCCTTTGATTCTGGACACTAACATAAATATGAGTATCAATCTGGTGGGATGATGGTCACTGTGTGCACCTTCTCTGGCCCTTCCTACCACATGGCCTTAACTGTCCTGTGCTAGTGAACAAGGGCTGTTTATACAATTGAGGTGAGAAAGGTTACTTAAATTCTCAGCTCAATAAAGGCTTTTCTTGCTTGATTTGTGTGTGTATAATGTAGAAAGTAATGGAAGGAGACTCCTGATATCCACTTGGGCCCTCACATACTCAGGTACTTGCACATATGCACACATTAAATAAATAAACAAGTTAGCAGGGCTAGAGAGATGGCTCAGTGGTTAAGAGCACTAACTGCTCTTTCAGAGGACTCAAGTTCAATTCCCGGTACCCACATAGCAGCTCACAGCTGTCTGTAACTCCAGTTCCAGGGGACCTGACACCCATGGCAAAACACCAATGCACATAAGGTAAAAATACTCATAAAAAAGTTAGTCAATTAATTTTATCACTTCTCCAGTCCTGTGAGGTAGATATTATAATGTTCCTATTATAGACAAGGAAAATGATCCTCAGGAACCAAAAAATAAATAAAAAGTAAGGATCTGAACCTTGGCCACTCTGCATTCTTTCTACTGTGTCATGCTGCTACAAAGACTTTGCCTTGTTTTGTGTGGTGAGGGTGTAAGAGGATCTCATATGGCCCAGCTGGCCTCAAATTTGCTATAAAGCTAAGATTGGCCTTGAACTACTGATTCCCCTTTCCACCCTCTCACAAGCTGGATTAGAGGCAGACCCAGCTCTAAGAGAAAGCATCACAGAGACTAAAGCATCAAGGGAAGTCACAATGAGGCCTTCATTTCTTGCATTAGGAAGCAGTAACAGAAAACAATATTATCGGGATGATTTTTAGCTAAACTCAGTAGCGTTTTAGTGGATAATGTCTACTTAGTGTGTGAGCCTTTCAGTGAGGTGTCTGGCTTACTTTGTCTCTATCTGTATGGCATCTGACCTGCGTGTCTTTCTAGGGTAAAGCCCATAGCTTGAAGCCAAAGGAGAAGCTGGCTGGCAGTCCAGTTCGCTCTTCCGAAGATGTAAGCCAGCGAGTGTATCTCTATGAGGGACTACTAGGTAAGAAATAGACTGGCAAGCCCCCTTGCTTTAGAAGAAAGCTGGGCTCAGCCATGGGAGAGGGTAGCACTAACAGATGCTGCTTGGCTTCTGCTAATGTCAATTCTGACATCAGCATTTTAAACTTCTTTTTAATATTTGTTTATTTAATGGGGGTGGCATGTGGTAGTCAGAGGATTTGTAGAAGCTGGTTCTTTCCTTCCTCCTCCCACATGGGCTCCAGGGATTGAACTCAGGTCATCAGGCTCGTCAGCAAGCATCTTTACTTACTAAGCCATCTCACCAGTTCAGATAGCATTTTAAAATCTGAACCAAGGAATCCATGGGATAAACAGGGGCAGAAAACTAGATGAAACTGGGTTTTGGTATTAATCAACAGGCTATGTCTTTCTGTCTTTCTTTCCTCTTGCTACCATGTTCCCTCCTGCTCACAAATTGGCAGGAAGGGACAAAGGATCAATGTGGGACCAGTTAGAGGATGCTGCTATGGAGACCTTTTCTATAAGTAACTGCTTTTCTTTGTGTGATGTGTTCATTCCTCCTGCTCGGGAAGGGCTGGGCCTCGCTTGGAGGCCTCTGGGGTTGGTGGCAAAATATATTAGATCTGGGAGAAAGGTTTAGTTTCCATTGTCTTGGAATTTGGAATGACCTTGTTTTATCTGGGGCTTACTATCTTTTCGTTTGGCAGCTACATTCTTTAAATGTTAAATAAGCCATGCCTCCCACCCAAGAAATAACATTATTCTACACAGGCAAAGAGCGTTCTACTTTATGGGACCAAATGCAGTTCTGGGAAGATGCATTCTTAGATGCTGTGATGTTGGAAAGAGAAGGGATGGGTATGGACCAGGGCCCTCAGGAAATGATTGACAGGTATGGTACTTCTCTAGTCAGTACTTTCCAGTGTGTTTTGTGGTCTCCCACCTGAGTACTAACTTGTGCCTCGTCTTCTGCTTAGGTACCTGTCCCTAGGAGAACATGACCGGAAGCGCCTGGAGGATGATGAAGATCGTTTACTGGCCACACTTTTACACAACCTCATATCCTATATGCTACTGATGAAGGTAATATTGAATTTGCGTATGTCCGGCTGTCACTGATGCTGGAAAGGCAAAGCTTTTTGTATTGCCTAAATTCTGGGACAGCTGGAAGCTGTCAAAGTATCTGACTGGGGTTTTCTTCTTAACTAAAGTCCAAGGCCTCTCTGCCAGCTTACCCACTATCCATTTAACTGAAGTTGCCCGGCTTTTGTTAATGACTGTTATAAAAGTAATTGATTATCACTTTGTACTTGTCTACTTTCAGTTTTATATGTAATGCCTTCACTGAGTTGTTTTAGGATACAGTAGAGCTCCCTTCGTAATACAACTAATTTAATTCACTTTTTCCAGTAGTATGTTATAAAACCTTCAGGGGCTCACAGTTTATTTTCAGTGTCAGCCTGTTGTCATTAATAATTTTCTATAGCTGGGAAAAGCTGCCTAACAAGGCATGATTGTTCATGCCAGTAAATAAGGCACTTGGGAAGTAGAAGCAGGAGGATCAGGAATTCAAGGCCAGCCTTGGCTGTAAGTTCAAGACCAAATAAAATTACATAAAATCTTGTCAAAAAAGAAAAAAATACCCACTATTACAAAATAATGATAAACCCTAGTTTGAGTTGTCTGTGCTTCATGTCCATAGCTGTGGAAAGGTATATTACCAAGCAGAAGAGTTCTCTGAAAGAGAATGATTTGGATTGGTGGTGGTGGAAAATAGAGCCTCTTTTCCCTAGCCCTAGCTGTGGAGATTGTGCTTAAGCTTTTAGACCTGATTGGTCTTGTGTCTTAGGTTTCTGTTGCTGTTATGGCCAAAAGCACATGGGAACAGAAGGGCTTATTGGGCTTATTGGTGAACTGGTCACAGTCCATCATCAGTGGGAGACAAGGCAGGAACCTGGAGGCAGGAACTGATGCAAACCCGGGGTGGAGGTGGTGGTGGGGCTGCTTATTGGCTTGCTCAGCCTGCCTCCTCCTCCTGTGTGTGTGTGTGTGTGTCTGTGTGTCTCTCTGTGTGTCTGTGTTTTGGCTTTTCAAGAAAAGGTTTCTCTGTGTAGCTCTGGCTTCCCTGGAACTTGCTGTGTAAACCAGGCTGGAACTCACAGAGATCCACCTGCCTCTCCCTTCCAAGTGCTGGGCTCAAAGGTGTATACCACCACCTCCCAGCTCAGCCTGCTTTCTTATACACCCCAGGACTACCTGCCCAGGGAGGGCACTGCCACCAGAGTGCTGGGCTTCCTTTCATCAGTCCTTAATTATAAAATGCCCCACAGACTTACGTGCAGGCCAGTCTTATGGAGGCATTTTCTCAATTGAGAGCCCCTCTTCCTAGATAGCTCTAGCTCTGTCAAACTGACAAAAACTAACCAGCATTTCTTGTATTGTAAGGGTTCTTCTTTGCTTGAATTCCATTGAACAGAATGAATACACAATTAAAAATGTTCTGCCATAGTCAGTGATACAGTTTTTCAGAATTCCATTTCTCTCAGATAGATATGTGGAAACCTAACACATTTTCTTGTCTTTGCCTCAGTTGGGAAGAGAGCAGATCTTTTATTAATGGCTGAGCCATCCCTGCAGTCCATAGCAGATTTCTATTAAGACTCTATCTTGGCTTTCTAGGTGAACAAGAATGACATCAGGAAGAAAGTACGGCGCCTGATGGGAAAGTCCCACATTGGCCTTGTATACAGCCAGCAAATCAATGAGGTGCTTGATCAGCTGACCAGTCTGGTGAGCATACTAGACCATCCCCTTGGGCCTCTTCCATTCTGCTTGTCATCCGCCCCTATTTCAGAGTTTCCACATGGAACATTTCTGCCATGTCACTATGCAGCCCAGTTAATCCCTAGTTTTGAGAATGGGGCAGTAGTCCAGGTCAGGTTTTAGCCCTTCTGTTCAGTGTTGGGGCTCTTAGTACTCCAGCTATCATAGTATAGCAGTTTCCATGTAAGGTCTGTGGATGTCTGTGGATCTGCCAGATGAAACCTGTTCTCATCACAGCACTAAAGTGCATCTTTAAAAAAAAACAAAACAACAGGGTCTGGAGAGATGGCACAGCGGTTAAGATCACTGACTGTTCTTCCAGAGGCCCTGAGTTCAGTTCCCAGCACCCACATGGTGGCTCACAAGCATCTGTAATGAGATCTGGTGCCCTCTTCTGGCTGCAGGGATACATGCAGGCAGAATGCTGTACATAATAAATAAATACTTAAAAACGACAACAAAACAAAAAACAAGGTTTCTTTGTGTAGACCTAGCTGTGCTAGAACTCACTTTGTAGACCAGGCTGGCCTTGAACTCACAGAGATCCTCTTAGCCTCTACCTCCTGAGTACTGGGATTAAAGGTGTGTGCCACCAATGCCCGGCTAAAATGCCTCTTTTTTTTCTTTTTTTATTTAATTTATTTTTTTACATGTCGATCCCAGTTCCCTCTCCCTCCCTCCCTTTTACCCTCTCTGCCCTCTCACATGCACCCTGACCACCCTCCCCTCCCATCCCCCCACCCCAATTCCACATGTAGGGCAATGCCTTCCGGTTGGAGTCATATAGATCTGACAGGTCATGTGAAGTAGGGACTAGGGCTTCTCTCCTGTCTCTAGATTAAGGCAGTTATCCCTCTATGGGGGATGTGTTCGCAAGGTCCTTTTGTGCACCAGGGATACATCCTGGCTCCACTGTCTGAGGTCCCTTAGACTGCTCAGTCCTTCTGGCTGAGACAGATATTCAGGGGGGCCTGAGTCAGTCCCATGCTGGATTTGCAGCTATCAGTCTGGGGCCCATTAACTCCTCCTTGTTCAGGTCAGCTTAAAATGCCTTTTTTAACAGGTTAATATTTGTACCAGAACGGCACAAGTAGTCCTGTACAGACTGCTGGCACATTACTATCATGACTGAACTGTATGAGCCCCACTCTCACTCCTAGGCATTCTGTTTTATAAATTCAGCATGGTGGTGCATGCCCTTGATCCCAGCACTCGGGAGGCAGTGGCAGATGGATCTCTGAGTTTGAGGTCAGCCTGGTCTACAGAGTAAGTTCTAGGGCAGGCAGGCAGGACTGCACAGAGAAACGCTGTCTCTGAGGGAGGAAAACAAGGTAGTTTGGGGTTGGTAATATGGCTCAGTAGCTAAAGGCACTGGCTGCTAAACCTGGCAACCTAAGTTTGAACCCTGACCCACCCACATGGTAGAAGGCGAAAACCAACTCCTGCAAGCTCTGATTCCACATGAGTTTCATGGCACATGCGTGTGTCCCACCCCCCACACACATTCCTACTCACCCACTCATACCCACACACAAAATGAGTGAATGAATTGATAAGTAAATAAAATGTACTTCAAAGGCTAAAGAGTTGGGTCAGTGGTTAAGAGCACTTGCTCTCTTCTAGAGAACCTGGGTCCAAGTCCCGATGCCCACATGATAGTTCACAACTGTAATTCCAGTTCTAGACTTCCGAGAGCAAACAATCCATGTAAATACTAATATATATTAAAATAATAAAATCCAAAAACATGAAAATAATAATAATAAAAAAGCCCACAACAGTTTCATGCTGAACACCAGCAATCCTATCACTCAGATTGATTTATTTATTTTAGCCTGAAACTATGTTGTACAATTTCTAATATATATATATATATAATATATATATTATATATATATATATAAAATTTGTCTATGGATATCTGTGTAACATGTGTGTTCCTGGTACTGAAAGAGTACAGAAGAGTGTGTCAGATCCCCTAGAATTGGAGTTACAGCCAGTTGTTAGCCATCCTGTGGATGATGGGATTCAAACCCCAGTCCTCTGGAAGAATAACAAGTACTCTTAACTGCTGAGTTATCTCTGAGCCTGGAAACTGACTTTTTAAAATTATATTTTAGTTGGATGGTAGTGGCACACGCCTTTAATCCCAGCACTCAGGAGGCAAAGGAAGATGGATCTCTCTGTGAGTTCAAGGCTAGCCTGGTCTACAGAGCAAGTTCCTGGCCAGCCAAAACATCTCAAAACAAAACAACAACCCAGTTTGGGGACTGCAGAGATAACTCAGTGGTTAAGTGTACATATTGCTCTTAGAGAGGACCTGGGCTTGATTCCTAGCACCCACATGGTGGTTCACAACCATCTGTAACTTCAGTTCCTGGGAATCCAATACACACTATCGGCCTGTGTGACACCAGATATACATGTGTGCACATGTATACATGCAGGCAAAACACTCATACACATAAAATAAAAAATAAATTTAAAATAAAATAATAAAAATTGAAAAGCCAGTTCCACTTATGAATGCCCTTATGAAGCAATGAAAAATATTGCATTTATTAAATTTTGATCATTGCTTATATATCTTTAATAGCCTCTGTAATAAAATGGGGTGTGTATATAAAGCATTTCTGCTGTAAACCCAGTATGTTGGTTATTGTGAGGAGTATTGTGACAGGTGAAATACTAGCTTTGTCCTTGAAACACCATTTCCTCTATGACTATCAGATTGAGCAATATGGTGAATCAGTTTTTTTAAAGTGAACAGTTGAAGTATTTGTTGTCAATGATAAGAGTAAATTTTTATAGTCCTGGGTAGCCTCAGAGTCACAGATACCCACCCACTTTTGCCTTCCAAGCAGTGAGATTAAAGACATACACCACTATGCCTAGCCAGCTTTCTAGTATTTTAATGCTTTTCTAATGAGACTGATGATGTAATGAATGTGATTTTTAAACTGACATGATGAGGTATTAATATTTGGTTAGTGTCTTTCCAGTATACAGTGTGGTTACAAATACAAAAAAGGGTAAAAGTTCCATCAAAATGCAGGGTGAACAGGATGAGCTTTAGGGCAAACAGTATAAACCGTTCATGGATGTGTTTTCAGGTCCACATTTCAGCTCTAAGCCACCACTCTCAGCTGCTGCTAATAATGCTGCTAATCCCAGTGCTCAGGAGACACGGCAGTTGCAGCGAGTTTGAGGCCAGCCTGGTGTTGAGATCCAGTTCTAGTCCAGCAGGACGTAGTAGCAAAGAATGCACCAGCTTGCCTGAAGAGGCCTCTTTAGAAAAGTCCACCTATGAAATCACATTTTCTTTATGTCCCTTAGCTAAGACACACACACTCAGTATCTTGAGAGCAGAAGCAGGTGAGAATTTAGCTGTTCTTTCTCTCTCTGTGTGTGTGTCTCCTTATTGAGACAACATCTCATTAAGTAGTAGCTATGGCTGTCCTAGAGCTTGCTATATAGACCAGGCTAGCCTCAAACTCAAGAGATCCTCCTGCCTCTACCTCCCAAGTGCTGGGATTAAAGGTGTGTGCCACCACACTCAGCTACATTTGTTTTTTTAAACAAAGATGACCCTTACTTTTTAAATTGGATTTTTATTTGTTTGTGAGTATGTGTGTTAGAGGACAAACTGCTGGGGTTCTCTCCTGCTGTATGGACACCAGAAGTCAAAACCAAGTTGTCATGCTCCTTTACCTACTGAACTATCTTGCCAACCCCTTTTCTATTTATTTTGTTCTATTTGACTTTTGAGACAGATCTCACTATGCAGCGCTGGTTGGCCTGGAACTCTGTGTGTAGACCAGGCCTGCCTCTTCCTCTCTCAAGTGCTGGTACTAAAGGTGTACACCTTACTTTATTTTTTTAATGAGAAGGGGATTTCATGGTTCAAATTTGCTATACAACTAAGAACCATCTTCTTAAACTTCTGATTCTCAGGCCTCCCAATGTAGAGATGACAGATGTTCATCAGGGCCAGCTCCTCTCTGTCTATTGCTCCTCTCTTTCTTTCTTTCTTTCTTTCTTTCTTTCTTTCTTTTTTCTTTTTTTAATGGTATTTTTCATGTAGCCCAGGCTGGCCTCAAACTTGTGATCCTCCCTGCCTCAGGCTCTTGAGTGTGTGGCACCATGCCCAGCCCAAGAATGATGCTACTTTCTCCTAAACCAAACATTAAAGAGATTTGCAAATAGGTAAAACCTTACTATTCTTTTTGTTGTTGTTGTTATTAGGAGAAATGTATTTTATAAAAGATATGGTCTTTTTCATATGCTTGGCTATCAACAAATTATTTTCAAATGAATTAATAAATGTTAAAATGTTATTAATATTTCTAGAATAGTGAGTGTAGCTATAACTCGCATAAACAGAAGCTCTTTGAGATCTTCAACTTTTTTTGATTGTTTTTCAAGACTGGGTTTTTCTGTGTAACAGCTCTGGCTGTCTTGGAACTCACTTCATAGACCAGGCTGGCTTCAAACTTACTGAGATCTTCAGTTTTGAAGAGGCATAGGGACCCTGACTCCAAAAAGACCTTGAGCCTTCACTATGGCCAGTTGCTAGCAGTTAGACTGTGCTAAGTAGTGAGCATGATACCACGCCTTTAATCCCATCACTTCAAAGGCAGAGGCAAACAGATAGATCTCTGAGTTTGAGGCCATACTGGTTTACAGAGTGAGTTCCAGGACAGGCAGGACTACACAGAGAAACCCTGTCTTGGAGGGGAGGGGAGATTGTGTTAGGAAACTGTTAGGAATTTAATTGCTAAGTGAGGCATTTTTATTCAGATTTGTGTATAAGAGCAGCATCTGAATGTCTCTAAGCATCTCTTTTCCCTCAGAGTGGACGTGATCTCGCCATCCGGTCCAGCGGCAGCCGGCACATGAAGAAACAGACGTTTGTGGTACATGCAGGGACAGACACAAATGGAGACATCTTTTTTATGGAAGTGAGTTCTAGTTTCATGTTGGAGAGCCAGAATATTTCAAAGACACTGGAAGCTTCTAGACCAATGAATGCTAGGCTTTGTTTCCAACTTATCTTTTATTCTCACAATCCATTTATCATTAATTTATCAAGTTATTATGCAAATAATTAAGTAACTAGATGGTTCCTCACCATGTCTTTTGTCAGTATTGGATGTGTGACATAATTGCATTATCCATGAATCAGAATACTAGAAAGTGATACACTTGGGTGGTGTCTGGTGTGTACTCTAATCCCCACTTCCATCATTTTTCTACTGTCCTAATCTTTTCATCCTACAAGTAATTGCTGTCTCTTTGGCACCCTCCCAGAAATTGTAGGCAAGCAAGCAATAAGATGTGAACATAGCCAAGTGGTGGTGGTGGCTACCTTTAATTCCAGCACTCAGGAGGCAGAGGTAGGCGGATCTCTGAATTTGAGGTCAGCCTGTCTACAGAGTGAGTTTCAGGACAGTCAGGGCTGTTACACAAAGAAATCCTGTACCTAAACAAAACAAAACAAAAGATGTCGGCATAAATTATTATTTCCCCCTTTCTCGTGGAAAGGTAGTAAAAGACCTCCAGTGTGCACTAGAATGTGTTGATCTGGATTATAGTATCTTTATCACCTATTCACTGGCTTATACCTTGTTTATTCATTTAGTATTTTCCAGATACTTCTTTATGACAGGGTAAAAAGGACTTTTTTGTTTTTCCTTTCTTTCCTTCTTTTTAAAAACTTTCATATTTATTTATATGTGTGTGTGTGTGTGTGTGTGTGTGTGTGTGTGTGTGTGTGTGTGTGTGTCACAGCATGTGTGTGGAGGTCAGAGGACAGTTTACAGAAGTTGGTTTTCTTCTCCCACTGTGTGGATGAGGTCTCAGACTCAGTTTCAGGTCTGCAGCCTTGGTGACAAATGCCTTTCCTTTCCTTTTCTTCTTTCTTTTTTTTCCTCTCTCCTCTCTCTCTTTCTTTTGAAACAGTGTTTTACAGTATAGTCATAGCTGGCCTGGAACTCACTGTGTAGACCAAGCTAGCTTCAAACTCACAAAGATCTGACTGCTTCTGCCTCCAAGTTCTGGGATTAAAGGCATGCACCACCATGCCCAGCTTTGATAGTTATTATTTGTAAGCATGTTCTAGCATAGGTTCCACCCATTGCCAGTATTTTTGCTGAAGAAATTCAATTTCTGCCTATAGGACATCTAGACTATTTGATGATTATTAGTCTCCCTGAGCACTAACACAGTTCTCAATTATTTGTATTTCTTATAAACTATTAGCCCAGTAGAGATGCTTAATTTCAAATTCAATATTTTGGCAAGGATATCCTCTAAATATATATTTTCTTACTGTAGCTTCATAGGTTCATCTCTCTGTGTTTATAGGGTTCATTTGTGTCCCCTTTTAAGTTTGGGGGGTGTTTATGACACAGGGCCTCACTGTAGCTGGGCCGTGGATGTATGTGGTATTTCTATGTTAATCCCCAGTTCTGAGAAACACCTAGCCACGTTCTGATGTTCTATGGGGACACAGAGCTTCCTTCTCAACCACACTGACATATGCACTCCTACTTCAGAATAGGGGGCTGTGTGTTCCTCCTGCACTTCTGAGTCACACACCTGCGTAGGTGATGGTGCCGTTTGCTACAACAAAGACTTAGAAGGAGCAGCTACCCAGGAGGTGCTGAGTTCTGGTTTGGGCTAATATATGAGATAACAAGAAAAAGAGTGGTCAGGAACAGAGAAGAGAAGCCTTGGATGGAGAAAGATTCAAAAAGCATCAATATGTTAATAATAATTATATATAGTAATTTGTTATGTGTGTGAATGTATGTGCTACCACGTGTGCATGGATAACTTTGTGGAGTGGATTCTCTCTTGTTCCATGTTTATGTGGGTTTGGGGGATCAAACTCAAGTCTCCATGCCTGCTTAGCAAGCACTGTTAATTGCTGAGCCATCTCACTGCTAATTATTAGATTTTTGTATCATAACTAGATTGTCAAAGCAGCTAACTGGATACTTTCTGTGTACAAGTGCTCTATTGTTGAGCTAGGTCCCCAGACCTGTACCCGGCTTTTGATGCACATTAAGAACTTCATGCTTATTGTGCCAAGCATAGTGGTGCACTCCTTTAATCCCAGATCTTGGAAGGCAGAGGCAGGATGAGCTCTGTGAGTCTGTGGCCAGACTGGTCTACATAGCAAGTTCCAGGACAGTCAGGAGTACATAGAGTGAGACACTATCTCAAAGCACAAAACAAAAAGGAAATTTATGGATGTTAGTACATTTCGTAGTATAGTTATTACTCTCAGTGGCCCCCCACCTTAGCCATGAGAAGGTATCAGCAGAAGAGCTGGCTCACCATGATGTAACTAGATATGGCAGAGCCTCAACCCAAGCAGTATGACCTTAGACCTGCTCTCACCCAGCATGCCACAGTGTCACTACAATAACTGAAGCTATGAAGATGGCTGAGTTCACCGAGGGGACTGTTGAACAAGAAAAGCATATGAAAGGGACCTTGCTTCTTAACACTCATCATTCCATATTCAGTCATTTTTATGCAATACCATTGTTCATATATCACTTATATAATTATAAAAGCATTTTATAGGAGTGGAGAAGAGGTAAGAGTAGACAATTTATTGGCTCTAACTTTTTCTCCTTGGCCAGGTCTGCCCTGTGTTTGATAACAGAACTGATTTCTCCACATGATTGTAAGATGAAGGCAGGAGACCCACTTTGAATCGTTGGTCTAGAAAGCAAATATGAGGAGGCACACGTGAATTGATTTGGACAATGTGCCTCTTTGTACACAGGCTCCTTTCAAAGATTTCCTTTCTGTCAGTAATACTTCTAACAGACAGTGTGTCCAGAGGATCAGTGCTTATTTTCTCCCCCTAGGGGACCATGAGTGCTGGGCAGAAGATGCAACTCCTAGGGCCAGTCACGCCATCCTTTCCCTGTGGGACACATGTGGCGTGGCCCGGGATGGGAAAAACTGTTAGAGACCAGAACTGACCTGTGCTCTACATTTTCTAGGTGTGTGATGACTGTGTGGTGTTACGCAGTAACATCGGGACAGTGTATGAGCGCTGGTGGTATGAGAAGCTCATCAACATGACCTACTGTCCCAAGACCAAGGTCCTGTGTCTGTGGCGTAGGAATGGCTCCGAGACCCAGCTCAACAAGTTCTATACTAAGAAGGTACTTGGCTCTCTGTCTGAGTTGGGGGTTGGATAGGCGATTAGGACTAAGTGCAGAGTTTCTCCCTGGAATGTTAAAATTCCAGAATCTATATCTTGGGCTGTACTTTGGCCTCCAGCTCTCCTGTGGAATAACGTATGCTGGCTCTGAGTCCTGACATTGACCTTAGCCTCTGGTAGTGGGAACCTAGGGAACATGGAACCCTGGAAGGGCCCCTATTACAGCACATCTCCTCCCTGTGCTGCAGTGTCGGGAGCTGTACTACTGCGTGAAGGACAGCATGGAGCGTGCAGCTGCCCGGCAACAAAGCATCAAACCTGGTGAGGAGCGGTCAGCCCCCACGGTGCCTTCCTCCTGACCACAGAGACCTGCTTAGGAAGTTGGGCTGTGGGACTCTTCACCTCACCAGTTAGCTGACACCTTCCTCCTTACCACAGGGCCTGAACTAGGTGGTGAGTTCCCTGTGCAGGACATGAAGACTGGAGAGGGTGGCTTGCTTCAAGTCACCCTGGAAGGGATCAATCTCAAGTTCATGCACAACCAGGTAAGCACAAGCAGCAGCAGAAGGCCTCCTGGCCCTAGTGTTTTACCTGTAATAAGGTCAGTTTCCAGGCTCTCGGTGCTCTACCCGTGAGCAAGAGGGGGAGCCTTGGGCCAGAGAGGTGAATGGCTGGACCAAGAGAGAAACCAAAGAGGGAGGGCACGGTGACCTTGGTGAGACCACCAGGCTCTGAGCAGATGCAGCAGGGAGCCTGTGTTGAGAACTGGGGAAGAGCGTGAGGCTTGGGGGCTGTGCTGCCCATCCACTACTCACACAGTGTGAGTGGGAGCGTCTCACTTGGCCCCTCTTGCGTGTCTCTGCCTTCCTGTACTCCCAGGGTGTGCTTTGCTCGGTGGTTTGCTTTGAGAGTCTAGAGTGGCTGATCTCCTGTGTACTTTTAGTGTGCCTGAACCCTGTGCGTCTGTGTGTGTGTCTGTCTGTCTGTCCTCTCAAGGTATGGGTGTTTGCCTTTTCCTTCTGCTGATTCTTGTCCTCTCTCTTCCTCTGGGTGTCCCTCCTCTGCCCTGCTCCACAGGCCTCCTGCCCTTCCTTTGGTGGGGGAGTGCTTCAGGATCCTTCCTTATTGTGATTCCACCCTAGGAGCTGACGGTTCTCTTTCCTCTTGGTCTTTTAACACAGTGCTACTTTTTCTCTCAGTGGACATTCCTTAAGCTAATTCCCTCTGAGGCCAGCGCATCATCCCAGGTCCGTTCCCGGCTCTGACTCCTCACACAAGTGCCTTTCCTCCCTTCCCTTGATGTCCTCAAGACTCTGAATTAGGTCCCAATATTGATATCCTGAAGCCTCTGGTCAAGCAAGCTACAGAAACTCAGGGGAGGTGGATATCTGACTTTGGTGTGGCTCTGTCCTTCCTTGCCAGTTTAGCTGGGAAGATGTCTAGCAGGGAAGTTTAGATACAGTATGAAAAAACTAAATGACTGCCCAGACATCCTGTTCTTCTATTAGTGTGTTTCCAATCTGGGACTAGTGTGGCAGGATACCCATAAAGACGTTAGGGGTAGTGTCTTTGTCCTTTTTGGACCATGAAGGTGTTAAAGAGGTGGCTTCTGATCCCATTTCAATGCTTCTCCCTCCCAAGAAAAGATGGACTCTTGGACACCCAGACACCCTGCCCACCTCCTTATCCAGCTTTCAGGGTTCCCCGCTCCAGGCCTTCCACATTAACAGTTGTACACCGTGTCCAGACCGCCCTACACTGGAAGGCTTGGCTCCTCCAAGTAGAGAGTAATAGTGAAGGCTGACTTGGGTCTGACTCCATGGCCTGCATTGATAGCGGAACAATGGCTTGTGGCTTGACCCACCTTGTGCCATACATGTGGCAGCTGGGATGAGCAAAGCTTCGGCCTTCACAGTGTGCTTATGCTACCTGAAATAGCAGATGGGAAAGCACAAGCTTGGAGTCAGAGTGTCCTTGGATCTGAGGCCCAGATTTATTCGTGAACAAATAAATGTTCTGATCCCACCCATTTCTTTCCCATCTGTAAAGATGGAGACAATACTGTAGACTGTACCAGGTAGATAAAATTTTGTAAAGTGCCAAGTCAGTGCTCGGCACATGGTAGCTGTTATTAATGTTACTGCATACTTCTTGGGAGGTCCTGGATCCTGTGTCAAGGAAGATAAGATCACCTACCACCCTAAGGACAGTCTGAGGGGAGCTTTGCACCCGTGCCAGCCCTCTGCGCCGGAGGAGGATGTATGGAAGGGTAGAGACCTGATGGGCTGAGCCAGAGACCCCTGGGGCACCGTGTCCTATGAGTGCTGCCCTGGGCAGAGGGTATGGGTGGGTAGCCCAGGCCAGCAGAGGAGCCTTTGGGTTGGGTTTGACCATTAAAACTAATGCCTTCATTTCTCTCCCATGCTTTCTCCTCCGGCCAGGAGCGGAAGGTACTTGCCCTTTCTGCTTTCTTCGCTTCTTAGCGCTTTTGATTGTGTGTGTGTGGATTCTTATGTCCTCCCTTTGGGAACTAGGTTTCCTTGAGGGGCATGGGGTTGTAGCTGGGAGAGTGGGCTCTGTGGGGCAGGGGTGGAGCCTTTGGGCCTTACGCCCCCCTCCCTCCCTCTCTTGCAGGTTTTCATAGAGCTGAATCACATAAAAAAGTGCAATACAGTTCGAGGCGTCTTTGTCCTGGAAGAATTTGGTAATTACACTATTTTGCTCTTAGGTCTGGACTCACATGGCAGTAACTCAAACCTTGGAGCTCCAGAGGAGGGACTAGGGGGGACAAAAAGCCTCTGCAGAGAGGTCAGGAGGAGAAGAGTGACAGGGAAGACAGAGCCCAGAAGGGAAGGATGAAGACAGGATAGCCAGCGGTCCCTGAAGAGCAGGGAGCCTTGGTGGACAGGTTACGAGTCTAGGGATGGTGTTGTAGTGCCCTTTCCTGGTTTGGCCAGCCAGTGGTCAGAAAGTTCTGGGGCAGAGCAGACTGGGGACCCTCAAGCTCTGTTGTGCCCATGCTGCCTGCTGCCATCTCTCTAGCAGCCCAGCAGTGCTCCACCCAGCCTCCCTGGCACCACTCTGGGTGCCACCTGGCCTCTGTTCTGGAGGAGAGCATGAGGCATCACAGGCAGACTCAGCTGAGGCCAGGGAAGCCGAGTGGGCCTCAGAGGCAGAAGGGGCAGGTGTATCTGGAAGCTGGAACCAGCCCCCCAGACAGGCTCTAAGGAATGGTGTAGTGGGTTCTCACCCTGGGCTTTGAGTTCCTGCTGTGTTTGTGCTTCATTCTTTGTGCCCCTCATCGCTGCTATGAAAACCTTCGTTCTCCAGCAGGTAAAGTGACCTCGGCTCGTGCTGCCTTCCCCCAGGCCCCAGCCTCGGACCCTGCAGTGGGCGGGTGGGCTCCTTCCAACCAACCTGCTTACACGGCCAGCGGCCTCTCCCTCCTCTCCCACCCTCTTCCTCCCCAGAGCCCCCCCCCCTTGCGCTGGCTCACTGTTCTGAGTTCTCTTCACTGTGCTCCCTTCTCTCTTTTGCCAGAGAGATACTTGGGGAACTCTTCCAGCTCAGGAGAATGATCTGGGGCTTCTTGCTCTGCCTTTGATGAGTGTATTTCATGCTAACTCTGGGTTCCGGGGATTCTACCTCCCAGGGTCAGAAGAAGGTGTGGCCAACTCTCATTCTTCATTTTCTGCTCCCACCGCAGGGGGGATGCCATGCCCTCCTCCCCAGTCTCACAAGGCCACACTGATGGCTGGACTTGGGGGACCCTACTCCTTCCTCTGGCCGGGCACAGTCCCTGCATGGCTGGGATGGGGCGACTCCTAATCTTGCATTCTGGGCTGTGGACATGTGTGTATTTGCCTGACGCTCCCCCTCACTTCCACCTGGGAGCTGTCCTCTCCTGTCTCTCCTGCTCAGTGTGTCTGCTCCAGAGCCCTCTGACGCTCTCCCTCACACGGGCAGGCCCAAGATCCTCCTACCTCACAGGGACGGACACCTCCAAGTCTGATGATGGGTTTAATATCCCATTACCTCATACAACCTTATGACCCTCTGCGTGGGGGCTGTGGGAGGGGGTGATTTCTATCACGACTAGATTTGTGGGCTCTGGTGACAAGGATGAGTCCCTGAGCTCTCAGCAAGGCAAGGCACAGGCTAGAGACTACTCTTCTCCTACTGCAACTCCTCACAAGCCCTGGACAGTAGCTGTGACTGGGCTGGAGAATGGCCAGCCCTTCCACCTTGGGCATCCAAAGAAGTGTGTAGATCCCAGCTCTCAAGTAAAGAGCCACGGCAGACTTCAGACATCTCTTTGAGGAGTCTGCCTGGACAGTCCAAGGAGTCTGGCTGGACAGGGCGGCCTCTGCTCTGTCATAGCCTAAGCCATTGCAGCCACTGTGAGAGGACACAGGGAAAGGGAGCCTGGTGCTGGCGCTGCCGCCTGGGGGAGTACGGCGCTGTTGCTCTTAGTTTTGAACTTTCTGTTTTGTCTCTTGCCCGTCCGGTTTTAGTTCCTGAAATTAAAGAAGTGGTGAGCCACAAGTACAAGACACCAATGGTGAGTATGCTGCTCAGCCTCAGCAGACCGAAGTGCAGAGGGCTCCCTGGGAACCTTCAGGCAGGAGGGGTGGACCCTCATGGGGGATTGGTCTAGAGCCGCTGGTTCCGCTCGACGGAATGCATCTTTCATCCTGGGAAATGTGCTTATGCTGACCTCTCCCAGGAGAGAAGCTTCCAAGGACTTGCCTGAGGTTCAGCCAGCCCAGAGGCCTGTGCTAGTGTTAGGGCAGGCCTTGCACTCTGGCTGACCCTGCTCCACCCGGCCGGGTCTTCTGCTCCCTGTAGGCCCACGAGATCTGCTACTCGGTGTTGTGTCTCTTCTCGTATGTGGCTGCCGTTCGTAGCAGTGAAGAAGACCTCCGAACCCCACCTCGGCCTGTCTCTAGCTGATAGAGAAGGGTACACAGCTGGCCCAGCCCAGGGGTCACCCCTCACCTCTCGCTGCTCTCCTGCGCCAAAGCTGCCGTGACAGAGAAGGGGATGGTGTGTGTATGTTCTCTGCAAGCTCCTTCCTATGGTTTAGGTGGTTTTGTTTTATGCCTGAATGTGTCTTTGTGTCTGTCTGTCACGGGGCTAAGCTAGTCCCATTACCTTCTCTTCCTCTAATACCAGACAAGCCTCCTATCCCCTCAGGGCTCCAGAGAGTGTGTGTGTGTCTGTGGGGCCACTGTGAGCCCACCATTGAGTGTCCTTGAGCTGTTTGTACTGTGGTCCTATGTCATTGTCCTTATACCCTCCAGTTTAGGGCTCTTCTCTCCATCCTCTGACCTGGCGCTATACCTGGGATACCTGGGACAGTTCCACTCTGGGAAGTGAGAGATAATTGGGGCCAGCCTTCCTGGCTGAGGATTGGGCAGGAGAAGGATTCAAGGGAAGCTGGAGTAAATGGTAACCCTTCCTGCTTCCTCACACAATTGATAAACTGGCTGCAGGTCATGCTGCTGCCTGGCCCAACTCCATCAGTGAAATAGTGCTCCTGAGCGGCTGCCATGTGCTGAGTTGGGATTTTTACAGTGATCTTCCTGGCCTTTGTCATAAGGTGACAGAGGGGTGAGGGTGATGGCCTTCCAGCGACCAGCAGATACTCTGCCTAAGAGCCAGGGAAGGGTGGGTCAGAGCCAAGTTGAGTCCAGCATGCATGCCTATCTTCAGGCAGTGTCTCCTGGCTTCAGTGCCAGAAGGAAGATATGGACTGGACAGGAAATGAATGTAAATATTTCAGCTCTGCATTATTTATAGACAGCGTACAGCTGTGTGATGTGAAATAAATGTCCTTAACTCCACGGGTACTCCCTGGTTGTCTTGCATTAAATGACAGCTCCTCTCAGCTCAGGCCTGAGGAATTCTGTTCCTAGCTCATCCCCACCCAGGCACTGGCATCCTGAGGCCCTGCTCCAGCCTCCTCCTTTCTGAGATTCTTGGAGTGCCTGAGAGGGATACCTACCACACCAGGTTGTAAAGGGCTGGGATGCTCTGGCCACTAGAGGGGGAGATGAGTTGGGCATCCATGCCTGAATAGCCTAATTAAGAAGCCACAGAAAAATGCGGGTGCTACACTACATTCCCTGTACAGGTGTGAGCTGGCTGTGGGCCAGGACTCTGTGCTCTACGCCAAGTGTGTGTCTTATGTTGAGTAGAACTCAAAGTAGTGGCCTAGGTCCAACCTTCTTGGGCTATCTATGCTATGAGAAACACTGGTACTCTGGATAGAATACCTACCACACCACCATGACACTTCTGAGACCTGCTGGCCACCAGATTTGTAAGGAACCTTGGTGTCTGTGGAGGAAGACAGAGAAGGTTCTAATCCCCTGTGCATGAGCTAGATGGAGTGTCCCATGTTAGACATGTGGTCATGAGCTGTGGGCTCAATGGGGTCTTAATGTCACCAGGGCAGTTCAGGTCTCTACTGCACTGACCACTGCACAGCACCCAGCTGCTGCCACCTGGTCACTGGGATGAAGCTCATGCCTGTGCCCCGGTTTCCTGATAGCCACCCTAGGCCCTGGGTCTCAGGTGGGCTGGAATACACACCTGAAGAATGAATATGGGGCCTGTGGGGGTGGAGGGGAGACCGACATCCCTTGTAGTGCTAATTAATGTCTCACAAATACAGGACACTGATTTGGAAAATGGCATGCCTGCTGAGATCAAGCAAATGCCTGTGTAGTTTCCTGTGATGAACACACTGAACAGAAACATCAGCCCTCTGTGACTGCGCCGATCTTTTATTGCCTTACACAATGAGCCAGCCAGAAGGGCCTGTCTCCAGTCACCATTTCTGAAGGCCATACACTACATGCCCCCAAAGCTAACAGCACTCCTCAGGAACTGTGAAGTCAGCTTCTGCAGAGCCCACCAGACCTGCCTGGTGTAGCTGCTGACCAGTCCTTCCCAGCCTAGGATGAACACACATACACACATGCAGTAGCAGAAAGGGCTGCTCCTCCAACTCCCTTCTGGACTTCTGGCCGGCATCCATTTGTACCTGTGACACGTGCTGCCTTGTGAGTGAACTGAGGCTCCCTGTACCCCCATTTCCTGATAGCCACCCTAGGCCTTGGGTCTCAGGTGGGCTGGAATACACACCTAGTCACCTCTGGGGAGCCATCCTGGTTACTGAGGAACTGTAAGAGGGAAGGAGACAAGCATGTGTCATTCCAGTCTTCCTGAAGCCAGGTTCCACTGAACATGCCAGGGCCAGGACTCTAGCAGCCAGAGGTGCTGCTTGAGCTGGGACAGCAGAGCCAAGCCCAGGGTCCCTGCACTGCCCTGCTTTCTCCCAAGTCTCCCAAGCCCTGGCCCAGTAGGCTTCTCACCTCGAACCTCCAGACGGCACTCACACTGTGCCTCGCCCTGCAGGTTGGTGGCCCTGCAGACATAGACACCCCCATCATAGGGACAGGGCTTTCTGATCTCCAGGGTCAGCACTCCCTGCTTGCTGAACATGCGGAAGCGAGCATCTTCTCCCAGGTCCAGGCCATTCTTGAACCAGGCAATCTTGGGCTGTACGTCAAGTAGAAAGAGGGAGAGAAGGAAAGCCTTTCAGGTGATGGGGGGATTGGTGGGAATGCAGAGCAACTCGTCCCAGTTCCCACTGGAGCACACACTCAGCCCAAGGCTGAGAATGAACATAGAGCATCCAATGAGGGCTTAGGCCCAGTTTTCAGGGGAAGACTGGAAGACACTCAGAGACGGTGCAAAGACAATAGATAAGCTAGGGAGAGAACTACCCAAAGGGAGCCTAGGATCCCAGCCTATCAGTCCAGCCCAGGACCTTGAGTCTCTACCTTAGGACTACCTCGGACAGCACAGCAGAGAACAGCATTATAGCCTGCAATGATGGAGCGGTTTGCCAAGGGCTGGGTGAAGCTTGGGGCCTCAGAGAAGTCCAGGGCCTTGTACTTGGGTGGCTCATATGTGATACCTGTTGGTGACAAGTCTTGGCACTAGGAAAGTCACTCCAAGCTAGTCACTCCCCTGCTTCCCCACAGTGGGAATGAGGGCACATCACCTGGTCTTGGAATAAAGACAGGCTCCTTGGTGGCAGCGGCTTTGTCACTGGAACCCACCATGTTATGGCTGAAGACCCGGAAGTAGTAGCCGTTGCCAATGATGAGCTCTGATACCACACACTGAGTGCGACGGTAATGCTCCAGAACAGTGAACCACTCCTGGAGGATGTAAAGGAGGGAATGACCCTTTGAGGGACCCTCTCTTGGGTACCCATTGTGCCTCCACCTCTACTGTGGAGGAAACCAGGTTAAGCAACAGGAGGGCTGCTGGACCTAAGGAGGACTTGTGTAGCCCAGGACCCAGGCTCACCATGGTCTTCTTGTCAGCTTTCTGTACAGTGTAACCCCAGATCTCTGTATTGCCATCATCTTGGGGTGGCTTCCACTCCAGAGCCACATTGAAACCCCAAGTCTCAACGATCCGGATATCCTGGGGAGGACGTGGCTTGTCTGCAGGAGACAGATCTAATTGGATTACTGCACATTCTGAAATTACCTGAGCAGAAGCAGGGGGATGCTAGTGTTTAGGAAGCCCCCACCTCCCTCGCCAGCCACATTCTGCAGGGACTCTGAGCTGGGTTCCCAGACTCAAGGTCAGGAGACAAGTGTACTGAAAAGGAGGCTCTGGGGTTACATACCCACAATCTGTAGGACCAGTGTGGCCTTGTCCTCCATGTTCTCAATTCGAACTGTCACCTGGTAGGTGCCTGAGTGAGTGCGGCGGGCAGACCGGATAAACAAGATGGTGTCCGTGGGGCTGTTTCGGATGCTCACCTCATCACCTGCCAGGGGCTGCCCCTCTTTGGTCCACATCACTTGAGGCCGGGGTTTGCCCTGAGGGAGGGTGACCAGCCCAACCCTGAGCTCGTCTCTCTTCAAGGGCTGGTACTACACCAGCCACATGTGGGATGGAAGCCTCAGGGTGCTCAGCCGCCATGAGATCCTTCCATTGTGGTTTCTCCCTTGGGACAAGGAAGGGGGCAACCTACCTGGAAAGGGATGAGGAGGTTCACGGGCTCCCCCACCTTCTTCTGGATGGTCTGGCGCAGGTGCCTGGGCAGTTGGAGCCGTGGTCGTTCTGTGAGTCGAAAGGGGACAGTTTAACAAGGGCCCTTCTGTGGCCCCAGCCCTAAGGATCTCCCAGGTCCATTCTCTCTTGAGGCAGGGCCCAGAGCACTGTAGCTAAGAAGAAAGCTGCCCTGGCCCAGACCCGCCTAAACCCCCATCAATTCCAGTGTGCTCAGCACTATAGATGCTGACCATTGAGCCTCCAAATAGTTCTATCATTTTGTTTTGTTGTATGCATGTGTTTTTCATCTTTTTAGATTTATTTATGTGTATGAGCATATTGCCTGCATGTATATATGTGAATTGTGTGTGTGCCTAGTGCTTGCAGAGGTCAGAAAAAGGCACTGAGTCCCCTGGAACCGGAGTTTTGAATGGTTATGAGCCATGCATATGGGTTCTAGAAACCAAACCCTGGTCTTCCGCAAGAACAGCAAGTGCTCTTAACTGTTAAAACAGAAAACAGTTAACAGTTAAAACAGCCCCTTGCTTTGTTTTTTGAGGAGGAGCTCATGTAGCATAGACTGGCCATAAGCCCCTCATCCACCTGTCTCCACTCCAAGTGCCAGAATTATAAGTGTGTGCCACTAACCCCAGCTTCACTTCAAGTTGGTAAACAACTATTTTGGAGTCACACATCGTGTAAGTTAGGGGTGTAATTCTAAGCTTTTGGACCCTCTGCCCAGTACTGTTTAAATTTGTTGCTTTTTTCCAACCTGGAGAACCAACCCTTCTACTTTTGTTGAGGTAAGGAACAGAAGAATAAACCAGGCTTTGGTGGCACATGCCTTTAATCCCAGCACTCGGGAGGTAGAGGCAGGTGGATTTCTGTGAGTTCGAATCCAGCCTGGTCTACAGAGCAAGTTCCAGGACAGGCTCCAAAGCAATACAGAGAAACTAGAAACCCTGTCTAGAAAGAGGGAGGGAGGGAGGGAGGGAGAGAGAGAGAGAGGGGGGGGGAAGAGAAGGATGAGCCAGGTCAAAGAGGCAGAGGCAGTGTGAAAGTCTGAGGCCAGCCTGGTTGATTACTAGTTCCAGGACAGATAGGACTACACAGAGAGACCCTGTCTCAAACAACAATAATAAATTAACAACAGAAGGAGAAGTGGATCCCAGATCACCCTGAATGACCCCGAGAAGTCTCACTCACTGTTCAGTTCTGTGGACACTACTCCTATGAGCTGGAGCTGAGACACAGAACATGGAAGCCATGGCCTGTGTTCTCCCTGGCCAGAACTAGAGGGAAAACTAAAAGCCCACGGCATGGATGAAGGTCCTGGTCCCCTCTGCCTCTGCCCCCTCCCCTGCCTGTGCCCACTGAAGCCCATGCCTCTGACAGGGTCTCCTTGATTGGCAGGCCTCATAGCAGAAGGGTACTCACGCAGTATCTCCTGCACTGTCACAGGTTCCTTGGTGATGACAGGGGCTCCAGGTCCTGCCACATTGTGTGCCCTCACTCGGAACTGCAGCCGCGCCCCAGTGGGTAGGTCCTTTACCAGTAGCGAAGTGCGCTCTGTCAGCCCCTGCAGAGCGGTCACCCACTCGGAGGCTGGGTGTGGGGATGGATGAATGAGAGTCAAAAAATCACAGCTCACCTCACTCCCACCTTCTGAGGGTGTCCCAGGGTCCAGCAGGGTGCTGGCCCAGGGATGGGGTACTCACAGCCTTCCTGGCAGTACTCCACACTGTAACCGTCCATGCCA